TTTTGGTAATTATTAATAAATATATAACTTTTATACTTATCATTCATACTCAAAGAAAGTTGACAAAGATTCATAAATTATTTTTCTTATTTAAAACAAATTCCTGCAACATAGTAATTAAGGAAATAATAATCCAGCCAATTCTATTTTTTTTAAATCAAAATATTCAGCGATGCTATACAAAAGATACAAAAATCTGGCACATTCGATTTCTTTTTAAAAGTAGTGATATTTTATTCTGGGTTAATGGAGAAGAAAGGTGCTATTAAAGAATGAAATTTTTATCTTTAAAAGGATTTTCATAAAATAGAAATAGCTAATTTATTGAACAGGATGTGCAGTATAAAGTAATTTGTCAATGGGCTTCTAGAAGAAATACAAATGTGAAAAATTAAAAGTTGCCTTCCTAATAATATTCCAATAACAATACTTTATTGCATATGAATTTGAATAATTAATGTATGCTTTGAACTCACAAGAATGTATTGTAATTTAATTATGAAATGAAATTTAGAATTAGAAAATGATAAAAATAAATTAAGTTCTTTAAAAAGTGTCCAGCATCAGATTAATAATTATTTTCATTCAGATTTTTCCATTTAAACAATACTCTAAATTATTTATTAATTTAATAAAGAAAGTTAAAATCATTTTATTTTTCAACTTATGTATCTTTTTTATTCTGATTTATAAAAATTAGGTAAATATAATGATTTATAATGATAACATTAACACACATATAATCCTTTTAAATTCATTTATTTACACTGGCTTCAATAATAAATTAAGAAAAAAAGAAATTATTTATTATTTTTTTATTGCATTAGTTTGGTTTTATCATTTTTTTTAATTGATATAATAATAAAATCTCAATATATGATTATTGAATCCAAAATTCTTTTAGTTCTAAAGAATGGATTGATTTTCTAGTTTCAGAGTATCAAAGGTTTGATTTTATTTAAGTATTATATTTCTTTATTAAACAAGCTTGAATTTATTTAATGTTAGAATTTATTCTCCAAATTTTCCCTGTAATTTAAATTAAATTCTTAAAATTTCATATTATACATAAATTAATTGACATTATTTTTTGCTCCTTCTAATAAAGCTTAATGCATTTTAGTTAGGATATGAAAAGGTATTTAAATGTTATTAATTTGCTTATTTACAATTTGGATTGAGTTAAGAAAGTTGAATTTATATCAACTCCTCATTATTATAGAATTTATAAATAAATTTTGTAATAATTGATTGTTATAATATTTTATTATATGTTTAAATATTAATTGGATTATTCTACCAATTTAAGCTAAAGTTTATCATAATTTTTGGTATGATACTTCTTCAATAACTGCTATTATTCTCTATTCTAAAAAGATAACAACCATAACTTTCAAAAAATCATAAGAAAAATTTGAAATTTAATTAATTAAATATCTACAAATTTTAAGCAACATAATTTGTGAATATCAGGTTTATTCAAATTCTGTTATTACTATATTAAATTCTTTTAAATATATTTTAATATACAAGAATCCCTGAGGTCTAGATAATAAAATAATAGATAGTATTTTTCATGTGCCCAACAACTTCCAAAAAAAGCATTATCTTATGAACATTTAGCCAAAATTTGAAAATAAAGGGATTGGTTTTTATTATTTTAGTATTTATCATTGTGAATAAAAGAAGAGTTAAGATATTATTCTCTTTTATAAAAGTATCAAGGTCACCAAGAAAATCTTAAAACTCTACTTTAAAGAGTTATTCTTCATTTTCCATCAGTTAAAAGAATTATGGGAAAACCAAAAATATCTAATTTCTCATCCTTTTTCAGAAATTTTTTCATAATTCCTTATAAATTTTATTTCAAAAATTGAATTTTCTGGAAATTAAGAACGTATTTATTTTTTTCTTAGATAATTTAGCCTCCAAATGATCTCATTATTCTATGAATGAGTATTATACATTTTTAACAAAGAATGATTGATTAACAGTATTAATATATAAATGTAATTAGATTGAGTTATTCAAATATCATTTTAAAGCGAGCCTTTTTTTAGAGTTTCACTGATTGATCCAATATATTTTAATCCAATTTTATAACTAACTCAAAACTCTGAAAAATTAGCTCAACTTGATATAATCAAATTTTTCAAATAAAAAAATATACATTTTATCATTTTAATTTATTCTCTTTCTATTGTCCCTATTTAACTCCATCTTAATATTATCCAGTTAAAATTTATTTATTGTTCAAAGAGTTACTATAATAAAAACCATCAATCTATTCAATCCATTATCCAATTTTATTAACCTGTTCATCATACCTACCCCCACCGCTAAAAATTAATAATATCGTTTGTATCCTTACATTTTATTATTATCTCCTTTATTATGGTAATATATTTTCCATATACCCACCTTCACTCCTTTGTTATTATACTCTCCTCTCCAAGTAGTTTAATTATCAGATGAAAATTAAGGCCTCTATTCTTTCCAGTTTTTCGTTCTTGTACATCAATTTCCCCACCTCCACTGATACAATAATTAATTTTGGTATATTACATTTTATTATTTTTTCCTTCATATTTCCTGTATAAATCTCACTTTCCGACTCTCAAACCTTGTTTATTGCACTTTCCTTCTGAAGTAGATTAATTCCAATATCTAAATCTCAGATTATTCTATCCACTTTACCATTTTTTGTCTTTGCTTATAGTATTCACCACCAGCACTAATAATGAATAAATATTATTGATACATTTTATTAGTTTTTTCACCATATTTCCAATAAATTTCCCAGACTCCAGTTTTCACACCAAGATCTAGTATAAACTCCTCTCCAAATAATGGCAGAGTTGTATTTATCGAATTCTATCTCAATTTTATTCCCCAAAAAAAAAACTAATCTAAATTGAAAGAAATTCTTTTTCTAAAAAACTTTGTATTATGAATTTTTAATTTTTAAATTAGGGATGATTTAACATTGAAGCTTAGAATCCAATAAACAAAAATAATCTTTTCTTTCTTGATATTATCTTTTTTGAAATAATTTCAATGCACATTTTTCTTGTAATTTGCAAATACTATGATTGAGTAAGAAAGTTAATTGAATCAATAATTGTAATTGGTTTAAATTTTTTTATTTTAAATTTATACTAATTTTAATTGTCCTAATCAAAATAGAATTATATTTGGGGCATTATATGTAAAATCAATAAATGGAAAATTTATAATTTTTTCCAAAACTAATAAAATTGCTCAATCAAATGGGCAAATAATTTTTAAAGTTAGTATTAGTCCTTTATTGATTCCTTCTTGTCGAACACTATAGGAAGATAACATATTTAGGTACAATAACATAATAATAGGGAAGCAACCATTGAGCAGCTTGTAATACTGAGAAAAAAAACAATACTATTAGATAGTTTTTAATTTATTCTTTTTAATATATAAATATTCTGAATTTTTCTATCTTTAAGTTAGATAATGTAATTTATGTTTATACTTTTTTATTTTGAGAAAATTTCAGATAAGACATATTTCAAAATCATTTCTCTCTCTAACATTCTTGTGTTTAAAAATAAGCATACCATATTTTTTTATAATTAAGTTACTATATTTAAACTCACAAATTTTTATAGACTTTGAAATTTGAGAAGCTTGGAGCACATACTATGGAAAATATATTTCCAAATTATGAAAGATTGTTTAAGTTAGAAAAAATTCAAAATGGAGAAATTATTGAAAAATCTACTCAACTTAATTTATATCTATAAATTAACAACCTTTAAAATCCTATATTCTTGTTATTATTCATTGGTTGAAAATTTATAAGCCTTAATCTCATTTTTATCATCATTAGAATAAATTTAATTAAATTGCTATTTTACATTGTTAATAGAATGATATAAGCTAGTTAAAAAGAAAATGAGTGAGAATTTTCTATCTGTTATTAAAGTTAGATTCGAAGTTTATTTCATTTAAATTAATTAAAACAGAATCTATTTAGAATTGTTATTGAATTGATAAAGAATTATTTAATTTGTAGAGATAATCAGAACTTTAAAGTTCTAAATATTTAATCTAAATAAATGAAATGGAAACCAAATATTCTAACAAAAAGAGAGCCATTCTAATCGCTTTTTGTAATGAATTGAATTACATTAGAGAAATCTGATGGAGAGTTTTATAAAAATGATTATGAAATACCTTAAATAAGCTTCTTAGTTTTCTATTAAAAATGATTTATGTTTAAACACTTAATTTAACATTTGTCTAGATAATAGCCTTTTTAACTTGCAATTTGGAAAGCTTTTAGAATTTGCTAATTAACGAAAATGATGATTTTATCTATGTAACTATCCGCGTTACTTTTGCGATATTATATGCAGTCAGAACAGACCTCATACTATTTACACATTATTATTGTTAAAGTACAATTTATGATCTTATTTAAATCAAAGCTCTTTTTTTTATCCAATCTACCCAAGTTAATTAACAATTTCATTTAAGATGATCATTTTTCTCAAAATATTTTGTACTAGGTCATGTATTTCTGACCATAATTGATTATTTGTTTTTTTTGATTTTATTTCACCTGGCTCCACAATCTTTCAATTGGATTGAATTATGGTGAATAAGAAGGGAAGAATTTATGTTGCGCTTTTTTAAGCAGATTAGAAACTTTTTTGCATTTATGGATGAGAGAGTTGTAATATACTCTTCATTTTTATAATATATTTTTAGTGATTTTAATAAATTCAATAAATATTGGCAATAAATATTAGAATTTATTGTTCCAATAAATAACTGATATCCCAAAATATTTTTAGAGATAGTTACTAAAATTGAAATACTCTCATTTATATTAAGTATTTGATTAATTTGCTTTCATAAAATATACTTATGACATTCTATAGATAAATTTTCTTTCTGGTTCTCCGTTATGTATTATTCGTTAATATTTCAACTTGTTATTATTTCCATCTAATCATTAATATTATTTAATTAACATTATATATTATGAAATATATTTTGATCATAATAGCCTCTGTTCTTTTAAAATTGGAGCTGAACACTTGACTATTTTATGTTGATGACAATGGAGGTTTAGCCTATTCTTATATATTTCAACTAAGTTTTCTAATTACTGCTTTCAGCCTATTTTCTTGTCAATAAGTGTTAAAATTTTATATTTTCTTTTCTTACCCAGTTTATTTCTAAGTTCTATCTATTCTGGAGTTCTTTTAAATAACTTTAAGAATTTATTCCAACCTAATATGTTGTTGATATTTTTAGAACACTGATTAATTAATTAGTATAATAAATTTAACAACCATCCTTTATTAGGGATTTTTTATGGCTAAAACCAAATTCTATGTCTTTCTACTTTGTTATAATTGTTAATTCTTCAAATATTTATCGTCTTGTAACTTTTGTTAATGCAGATGGCAAGTTTACTTCAAAACTTTAAATTCTGAAACAGTTCCAGAAAGCGACAGCTAGTAAGTATCGCTGATTATGTAAATTTAGGCAAATAATATACTTTTAAAGCTAAGGTATTATATATTGATTATAAGGAACAAGCTATTCGGTTAGCTTCTTTCAATGATATTAACTATCCTAAAAATATTATAAATTGGTTTAACAATATTCTGTATGTAATAGCATAATTAATTTTACCAAAAAAAATGGAGATTATAATAAAGATTTAAATTACGATTATTTGGATGAATTTTTTTTAATTGATACCTTATTTCAAATAAAATATTGAGTTTTGAAGAAAAATTCAAAATGACTTATCACTTTTAGATGAATTCTAGAACATTCCAAATTAAAATTATTGGCGATGAATAAAGAAAATATATGAGGGGAAAAAAAATTTACAATCATTAATTAAAGATTTTTATCTCCTTAAATACACACAACAATATCAAATTGAAAGCTGCTTGAAAAAAGAATTCTCTATTGAATTACAAGCTACACTTTAATAGATTTTCTAAGCAATATTAATAAATAAATATTATGATATCATTTAATCATGTAGCAGAGTGTCAGAAATTCAAAATTGCTAAATACTTCTAATAGCTGAAAATAAATGATTTAATAAATTTAATTTAAGGCTTAATTGTTGTAATGCCTTGTGTAAATAATTTAGTAAATTTTAAGCATCTCCTAAAAGATTGCTTAACCAAGTAAATTGTTAGGAGATTTTCCATGTAAAAAAATCATATAAATAAAGAAAAAGAATCAAAAGTAACACAAAATTTTGGTGAATAATCAGGTCTTATTAAAAAGAGCATCAAATTTTGATCTAGTTTTGAGAGCTTAATATAAAATTAAACAATTAGAGGGTCAAGGTTTTTCAAAAATAATGGCTGAAAAAATGGAAATAAACCCTTCATAAAAAATTACTTGAATGCAAATAATGAAACTATGTAAGAAGAAATCACATGCTTAATAGATGTTTTAAATAGCATGAAGTCTGTTAAATTATCTGCATTTACTTTCTAAATATTTTTAAGTTGACTATAATATAACTTATAAAGGAAAAATGATAACAGATCTTAGCTAATGTTACCATGCAATTATTTGATACGATAAAGGAATAAAAATAAATTTAAACAATTTAGCTCCTCGTTACATAAAGGGTTTAATATTTTTTGTGTTGTAATTGGTTGTTTCTTATTATAAATATGAATTTTAACTGATAAACAAAAATGATATAGCTAAAATCAATTGTCAGATTTCTTAAATTTGATGATATTGTTGTTTAAAGTTTTTATGCCTCTAAACTTGTGTCTTATCTATTGAAAATATAAAAACAAGCTTAAGACGTTTTTGAGAATTTGTATCAGTATCCTGATATTAAATTGAAATATAGAAGTTTTAATTTTCATTTATGTCAGATAGTTCAAACATAACAAAGCATATTTTATTTTTGAAATATAAAACATGAATAGTTATTATAAAAGAACTATCTATTGATCTAAATAAATAACGAATCTTATGAAGTTTTATTTTAGAAATAAATTATTAGCTTTTTAAATTCTTATCCATATAAGAATAAGATTTGTAGAGATCATTAGGATAGTATGAGAATACGTACCTGATGATCCATGGGTGCCGATAGCCGAATTGGTGCAAACTACAGTCTTATCTCCTTAAAAAGGCAAGGAATATGGGAAAAGATGATAATATTCCCTGACATCGAGTATATTGAGAGTAGAAACCATTTTCATACTTACTTGGTTCAGTGTAAGACATATGATAAAGCTACTGGAAAGACTGAGATGGCGAAGGCTCCCTTCCTACTGCGATGAATTTTAACTACAATTTAAAATTTCTGAGAAATTTTGACCACATTTAAACTTTTGACTTGAGGGTGATCCAGTAACCCACTCTTCTGGTTAAAGTATTCTATAATTTACCATAACACAATTGGATATCATGTATTCAAAATTAACTAAGGAGGAATAATAATATAATTAGAAAAGGCTCTAGATTATGTAATGAATACCATCTAAGTGCATGATGAATGAAAAAAGGCAATCTGAAATTTTAAGAAGGAATAAATACATTTGAATTCATGTAATCTTTAAAAAAAAAGTTGAAACAATTCAAAATTTCAAAGAACTTTCTGATTCTTTTTTATTTAATCAATTAGAGCATTCTTTTTCATTATTACTTTCCTCTAGCACTAAATTAAACTTTTTGTTTCTAAATTTCACCTTCTACCTTTATTTACTTGGCAGTAATGTTACTAAGATTCAGAATTATCACAAATATCTTTGGTGAAAATTAGATAAACTTGCAATTAAAAGTAATTATAGTAAAAATATGATGATTATTTTGTAAAAATTTAGGATAATTACAAAAATGATTAAATATCAGATAAAATTGTTATTTTCACATGATTGATAATCCTTATCATTTATTGATTAATTAAGAGAATAAACAGATTATTAGGAATTGAATGAGCAACAACAGAATATTAGTCACTGAGTTCTAATTATATAAAACTAATCTAATCTAGATTAATTTGATTAGATTGATAGTTTAATGTAATTAAAATGTAGAAATATTATTACAGTATTTCTTAGAAAATTAAGGAAAATTAATTAAAAACCTTGATATTAATGACTGTTAAACTAATTAAAAAGCAATGCCATTTAAATGGAACTACTTTGATATTATCGATGTTAAAACTTTCGAAATCCCTAATTTCTTTAACAATTAAAGAGCTAATTCAATTTTAATCGACTATTTATAGTGCACTCAATATAATTATAAATTTATTATAGTTAAAAGTAGTTAATTTCACTTGATATAAATAATTAGAAAAGGGTTAGCTTTTTCTCCTATATATATATATATAATTTGGAATAAAACTATAGAATTAGATATGAAATGAAATATTTTTCATAAAAAAAAAATAGTGAAATGATATTAAGAAATGCAATTTCAATAGAATAAAAATATCTAAACTAGATTGCTTACAAAACCAACTCAGTGTTATAATAAATTTAATAGAATTTTCAAAAAATACTAATAAATGTATTTCAATACTTAATTTCTGTCAATATGTTTGGATTTGCAGTTTACTGCATTAGATTAAGTTCTTAAGTTTATTTTTTTTAACAGTAGGCTTGAACCTTGTTATAAAATTTAATTGAGCATCTTACTAGAGGACCCATTAATCCAATCATTAAGAGCCCAATTTAAATGAAGCCTAAAATAAAATATTAATTAGCTGTTAAAAATTTATAAAATTCACTGCAATAAGCTAAACTTAAAAGAGTAAATATCATTACTGGTACCTCTTAACAAATTACATTAAATAATTCAGATTTCTGGTAAATAAGCTAAACTGTATTAATAAAAAATAAATAGGTAAATAGTAAAACAGTAAACATTATACACTAAGTAATTGGTTAATTTTATATTCCAATAAGAATCATAAGAAAAATGAATTTTTTAAATAATACAATAGCTTCATATTATTTATATCTAATTTTTTGCAATTACATGTTGAAAGCTTATCCTCTAAAGTATTAAATTAAAAAAAAGATGACAAAAATTAAATACCCAAAGCTGATAATATAAGAAAAAAATGATCTTACTGTATATTCTTTGTTAGAAATTAAATATAATAAAATCTTGAATAATAAATCCCAACTATTTGCTAAAAATAGACTAGAGAAAAAAATTTTGCTGATAAATGATGGCTTTTTTATTATAATTTTTGTCCAAGTAAATATTAGAATAGCTTTTTTTTTCAAAATCTTTGATTCACTTAAACTAATATAGTTTAAATATCTTAATAGATTATGTGAATTGTAATATTGGTATTTTATATATCTTAGAAATATATCAATCAGAATTATTAGTAGCACTTAAATAAATAATCCATAAATATTATTGAGTAGATCTGCATTGATATCATAATATTAAAATTTTCCTATGCTTTCACAGTAATGAACATCAAAGGCATAATCAAATAAATCTAACAAATATATTTTTTTCAAATAAGGCTTTATACTTACAAAATTAGATGATTCAAAGTAGATTTCAACATTTTGAGGGAAAGGTACGTTTATAAATTTCAAATTTGATTGAAATTATAATATATCTAAAATTTCTGTAAAATTTTAAAAATCACCTAAAATTATCATAATAAATCCACATATGCATAATGCAATCAACATCCAAAAGCTTAAACTTTTTAGATTAAATGCTGTTTATATTTACGATTTTGTTAAAACTCTTGGTTGTTAGAGTGAAATCTTTTATTCATTATTAACAATTGGGAAATAGTTTAGATCAATTAAATCATCTTTGAATGAAACCCGTAAATTTGGTTAAAAGTTAAATGAGTGAAAAAACTTGATTTTAAAGATAAATGATAGGTCTAAAAGATCAAAATCTTCTATGTTTGATACTTAAAATATTGTTAACTCATATTGATTGGAACTCAAGTTATCTATTTTGTATGTAATTTCTTTTGTATAATTCTCAATTATATTATTGAAAATTAATTTATTAGTAAATGACAATAATACATACTCGATAGACTAAGTATTATTCAAATAAAATATTTTATATAATGTTTGAGGATAGCAATAGCTTGTATTATCAATGCTTTTACAATTCCATTAATTTTCAACTTTACAAGTACTAGAGCATCCATCTAGATTGAATAAATTAAAATCATCACAAGATTCATTATTTTATATAATTCCATCACCACAGAATTCTATAGATTTAAATTCATCATTAAAGTCTTGATTTTGAATCTCTTCTTCAATTACTTTTTAACAAAAGTTATCTTTAATCTAATATCCTAAATTGCATTTTTCGCATCCTCCTAATTAACATAATTCGCAATTTTCAATGCATGACAATTTACATTAATAACATCCATCGTAAGGTAGATCATTACCATCCTCACAGTCTTCTAAACTATTTATCACAATTCCATCTCCACAGATTGGAATACATGAATTATCTACTAAAGTAAAAAATTCTTAGCATATTAAACATGTATTTTGGTCTGAACAAAAAAAACAATATGGTATACATTCAAATAAGCATTAATAGCAACCATCTATTTCATTAAAATTTCCATCATCACATAATTCTATGGAATTTATAGCAATTAAACCATCTCCACAAATTTAATGACATTAATTATTTTAAAGTTGCCATCCATCATTACATTAGTAACAAGTATTATTAATGCATAATTTGCACTCTAATTAACAACTTTGTTAGCATTTTAAATTTCGATCTAATTGGGTTTGATCATCAAAAATTTCATAAAAGACATTTATAGTGTCATCACAAAATGGTAAACATTATTTTTTATTTAAAGATAAAGAATAATTTACATTACATTCCAGACAATTACCAAATTGGCAAGTTTTACAATTGTAAGGGCAAGAATATTTACATAAATGGCAACCATCATAAGGTACATTATTCCCATCATCGCATTCTTCAAAATGAGTAATTAATGAATCTCCACAAATTGGAATACATATTTTTTCTAGTTCATTATATTCCCAACCTGTTTTACAATCCAAGCATGTTCCTCTGATACAATTACTACAACCTTCAGTGCAATCAAAAATTTATGAAAAGCATCCATCAAATGGTACTAAATTATAATCTTTGCAGATGAATTCAAATAAAGAAGATTTTAGAAAGAGTTGAAAATCTCGTATTGCAAAAAATAGTAGCAAACTAGGATTATTTTTGGATAATATAAGTGAAATAGTTATTTTAGCTTGAGAATGTATATGTGGATATTAATGTATATTGAATATTTTTATAGATCTGTACCCAAAACCATTAGGGTAATTTATCCAACCACCTGTATATTAAATAGTTGATACTATGATATCATCAATTGCAATATTAATTTATGTAGGGTTTGAGTTATAGACTAATACTTTTACTTATAAACTAATTGCTTAATGGTGGTTCAACTTTATTTCATTTATTAAATGATTTCCATATGTTTCAAGATAACGAGCCTCTAAAATAAAAATAATTTTTACAAAGGTATGTGATGACTGAAGTTTGAATTACATTATTTGTCAACCAGCCTTCAGAAGAATTAACAACATTTTCCCAATTCAAAGTAAAAAAATAGAGGTATTAATCAAAACATTAATTTTCATTGCAAGATTAGCAACCTTCTGAACATAATTTAGCTTCTAAAATCATTTAAGATATTCCCCAAATTCCCTTTTTAACACCAAATATAACTGTAATAGCAGGTATTGTATGAGGAATACTAATTGACATTGGAAATATTTCATCATTGTAGACTGAACTTCCACAAATATTTTAATTACTTGTTGTGTGAGAAAATTAACTTGAATACATTTTATGATAATCCAAGTAAACATAAAAGTCATCATAATTCCAATAATCAATTCTATTATCATAATGGATGTATTACCTCCAAAAATTAAATGTAAGAATGATTTAATAGTGAGGCTCTAATCGGATGGTTTTGAAAACAATTTGATTGTAATTAGTAAGAGAGCATTAATTTATAGCTAATATAGTTTCTGTGCCACATTATTCAAATTAAAATTTACAGCAAGGACAAGTTGTATCCCATTTTAACTCATTTAGATCTGAAATATTTCAATTAATACTTTAGTCTTAATTGCTTATCCAAAATTAACTTTAAAAGCCTGCATGAGATAAGTCAAATATGATGAGCAATATAGTTAGCTTAAATATTAATGGTATGCACCCAGTAAGAAAATAATTTATCATTTATTTAATTTAATTGAAAAAATTCTTTAACTCAATAAGAATAGCTAAACTTAAATTCGGAAAAATAAATCTTGCTAGAAAGATGTTATAATTTTGTCTTAAAAATCATAAAAATACTTGCCAATACATATATTACTTCAAAAATTTTGATTACGTAATTTAATTCCTAAAATGATGTATTTCATTTTTTTGCAAATTTTATTTTATATCAATCAATTGTTCAAATATGATCTTTTATTGGTTAGAATTAGCCTTTTTTTATTGAATAATATTCAAGATGCATGTAACTATCATATATTCAAATTTTCAGTTAATTCACTCCCTTTGAATCAACTCTCTTATAAAAAAATGAATTATCAATCATATAGTATAAATGAATAAAAAAGGGCTTAAAAAAAACAAATTTAAAGAAATAAGAATGTTTGATATAAATATCAATAATGAAAAAGTGTGTTAACTTATTTTTCAATCAACATCATAATTTAAAATATCAAACTCTTGTCGATTACTTTAATAACCAAAAAGAAAGTTGAATTTCATAAGTATTGTAAGAATTAATAGAAACTCATTAGAATGTTTTAATAGAAAATATTTCATTAAAAGTGAATAGGATTGATATTATGTTATATTAAAATAAAATTCCCCTTTATTTTTCCTTTAAATTATTCAATGAAATTTTAACATTTAGAAAAGCAATATATAATGTGCCTCATTATAAAAGGAATTTTTTTTTCCCATAAATTCTGGAAATTCAAATTATGTCAATTAAGAAATGTATAAATAAATTAATTTTAATGATTTTAGTTAATATCAAAGGTCTTAATTTGATGATATATAAATTACCTACATTTAATAATTCAAATAAGAGGTGGATTGTTTCCTAAAAAAAACCTTACTCTTCTTTTGTAAAGAGAACTTCAACAATCCTACTTAATATAAGTGTAATTTGAAAATAAAAAAATGATTATTTCTTGAATAATTTGTTAGGATTTTTTCTTGTTGGCAAATAGAATAAACTGAATCTATTTGATAAAATATGAATTACCTTACACAAAATAGAATTAGACAATAGCATAAAAATATATAATTGAATATCAATTTTATCATTAATGACAATATGATAGATGGCATCATTTCAAAACACCCCAATCTTACTTTCTCAAGCCTATAGGATCTATGAGAAACTTGTATTTTTATAGAACTAAGTATATTTCAGAAAGGAAGTAGCCAAATTCAATTTATCCTTCTCTTAGATCATTTAGAAAGGCTTCATGATTCCAAAAATAATCAGAAATGATTACATCTGATATTTTAATGATAAAACTTAGTTTTAGAATTTTTGAGATTTGCCTATTAAATATACAATACTTTATTATTTTCTTATTGGATTATAAATTCCTCTGAGATTTCTTCAATTATTCTAGTATTGACTATCAAAGTGTTAAAAATTAAGTATTTGCAAAAATAAGCTAATTCTGAAGCTAAAAAAATTCAAAATATTTATAATCTGTTTAATTTGAATATATTGGCCTAGATATAGAAAAATAATAAATTTGATGATAAACTTGGTTTTTTATTTTTATCAATTTTATGCAATTATCTAAATATTTATTAAGATATAAGAAATTCTTTTTTCCATTAAATTAAAACTACTCTAAGGATATTTTAGGAATTAATACATTTAAGAAGGAGAATTTTTTAATTATTAATGAAGAGTGGACTAACAATGATAATTTTCTTGATCTTAATTTAGATAATCAAATAGGATTGCGCTATTTAACAAAACTACCTAATTATCATATTTAAGAGAAGTCATTAGCAGGAGCGTTGATCTCATCAAAAAAAGATAATTTCTTTAATGAAGGGAATAATGGGTCTTGTTTAAGAGATAGTCTATATAAAACGATTTCTAAAGGAATACCCTATACTGATTGTGTATTAGGGAAATAAATTTCCATAAAACTACTCTAAAAACATTTATTGAATACATTAAATATTTGGTTTTTGGAAGATGGCTTTCTTGATCAAGAAGGAGTTAGATATTATGATATAATTGTTTAGAATTTCCAGACTAATTTTTTGATGAATTTTAAGTAGTGAATGTTGGAGGGAATAGATTAATAAAATATATAAAAATAATAAATAAGCAGAATCACTATATCTTTGAAATAATTTCGACAACTCAAATCAATTCCATTCTATATCAATAAAATTCCCTAAAAATATATTAAAAATCATTTTATACCATGTAAAGCAACCAGACAAAATTATTTTAAAATTAACCCATTCTTTCTTATTTAATCATAGATGAATAAATATACATATAATAATTTAAATACTAAAATATAATACTTCAAAATGAAAACATTCCTATATATTTATTTTATTACTATTGTTAATTTTTAGTTACTCTTTTCATNGATTACATCTGATATTTTAATGATAAAACTTAGTTTTAGAATTTTTGAGATTTGCCTATTAAATATACAATACTTTATTATTTTCTTATTGGATTATAAATTCCTCTGAGATTTCTTCAATTATTCTAGTATTGACTATCAAAGTGTTAAAAATTAAGTATTTGCAAAAATAAGCTAATTCTGAAGCTAAAAAAATTCAAAATATTTATAATCTGTTTAATTTGAATATATTGGCCTAGATATAGAAAAATAATAAATTTGATGATAAACTTGGTTTTTTATTTTTATCAATTTTATGCAATTATCTAAATATTTATTAAGATATAAGAAATTCTTTTTTCCATTAAATTAAAACTACTCTAAGGATATTTTAGGAATTAATACATTTAAGAAGGAGAATTTTTTAATTATTAATGAAGAGTGGACTAACAATGATAATTTTCTTGATCTTAATTTAGATAATCAAATAGGATTGCGCTATTTAACAAAACTACCTAATTATCATATTTAAGAGAAGTCATTAGCAGGAGCGTTGATCTCATCAAAAAAAGATAATTTCTTTAATGAAGGGAATAATGGGTCTTGTTTAAGAGATAGTCTATATAAAACGATTTCTAAAGGAATACCCTATACTGATTGTGTATTAGGGAAATAAATTTCCATAAAACTACTCTAAAAACATTTATTGAATACATTAAATATTTGGTTTTTGGAAGATGGCTTTCTTGATCAAGAAGGAGTTAGATATTATGATATAATTGTTTAGAATTTCCAGACTAATTTTTTGATGAATTTTAAGTAGTGAATGTTGGAGGGAATATAGGTTAATAAATAAAGGCAATTATCTTTGAAATAATTTCGACAACTCAAATCAATTCCATTCTATATCAATAAAATTCCCTAAAAATATATTAAAAATCATTTTATACCATGTAAAGCAACCAGACAAAATTATTTTAAAATTAACCCATTCTTTCTTATTTAATCATAGATGAATAAATATACATATAATAATTTAAATACTAAAATATAATACTTCAAAATGAAAACATTCCTATATATTTATTTTATTACTATTGTTAATTTTTAGTTACTCTTTTCATAATTTAATTTTCAAATATTTCAATAAATTTATTTAAGAAATATTCTCTGAAGAACTAAATCAAATTGATATTAAACTTTTAATCAGTTTTTTATATATTTAAATACTTAATCTATTGTTGATATTCAAAAAATAATTATAAAAATGATTAAAGGATTCCTTATCAACCCCAAATTTAATGAATATTCTAAAGAAAAAGTCTATGTTATGATCTTCTCAAATACTCTGATAAGATGAATAATTAATCAATTAATTAATGAATATAAAAAGTGTCCTGAATACATCAGATTATTAAATTAAATTCAATTTAATGGTTGATATATAGATTTATAACAATATTGTCAAGTAATGCTGTTGTTGAGAATAAAATTAAGATTATTATCATTTATAAGTTAAAAATCAAAACATTTGATTATTAAAAAATCACCTCTCTTCCTTAAAATAAACCTAGACTCAATATATAATAACATAATTTCAAACCCTCAAAGAATATCACTTTAAATTAATAACTGAATATATTTAGGGCAATTATAGAATTATTTTGAATTTATATTATAAACTTAATATGGTTTGATAATAAAACCTATATAAGTGTTCTATTTAAAAATAAATTCTATCAAACTATTATTTTATAAGAAAACTATTTATATATAATTCTATTAGACTAAAACCCCTAAAATTGTTCATAATTATATATCTAAAATATATTTACGATGATGTTCGAATTAAAAAACTGAAATAATATATTATATGGTGATATTTCTGTAAAAGGAATTTTGAGGAAAAGGGTAATCAGATATTTTCTATTTAAGATAAAGAATTGAACAATACAATTGTCAAATTTTTTTAAAGTGATTTATTATAAATGAGTGAGTTTAAAGTGATGAAAATAATAATCCAATTAGAACAAACTCATACTTCAATATTATAAGGATGAGAAGATGTTAAAATTATATAAAGAAAAGATTCTATATATAGAGATAATCTAATACATTATTTTTTACTGTCACAAAAATTATTGATTACAATCAACAATATATAGCAGTCAAAAAATAGAAAGATAATAAAAGTGTTCCAGATAGATTTGTCACTTAATAATAAATAGTAGATTTAAATTTATTTTTTACTATAAAGCATCCAAAATAATAATTCTTATTTAAAAGTAATTTATTTATAAAATTCTAATAACTCTCAATTTATATTCCCTATTTTTATTGAATCTTATTACAGTTATGCATATTAACTATATAAAGACAGTCGGCTTTGTATTTTGATAGTACTTAATAAGTTTTGTTATAGATTCCCCTTATTTTTTTTTAATTTCTATTAAAAATAATTCCTCTTCTCATTTAACATTATTATTAAATTTATCCATTTCAAGAAGCATTCTTAATTTTGATAATTAAAGGAGAATTAGACATTAAATACACAACAATTTAATGTTCTTTGTTATACAAATCAATCCACTTGTTTATTATTAAAATGAGAAAATGATTGCTCTTAATTAGTTCCCATAATTCTTTATAAAATTATACTTTGCTTATATATATAGATATCATTAATATTCATTTTAGTATATAAGTAATCTTTTGTGAAAAAATTTTGATAAAATCAAAGTTGCTGTATTTTTATTCAAGTTTTTGAAAATAGAGCATCCTGAATGCTGCTTTTTCTTAATATATATAGTCAGAAAAACTTACAAAAATTGATTAATATTATTAAAAAATTGCATTTATTATTAATGTTAGGATTGCAGTATTACTCTTACTAATATTATTCTTATTAGGACTTGTAACAATTAAAAGAAATACTTGCATATGATTCAATTGGTGAGATCGAATTTTATGAAGATGAGAAAGTTATTGAATACAAAATAAATAGAAAAAATTGTATACTGTTAAGCGATTTAATAGAATTAATAGTAATTGTTAAGTTTTATTTTTAGAAAATTGGGTTTATAAGATTTCATTTAGGATAGTTACTATAGCTTTTTATTAATTTATTAGAGAAAGTGAAGGTCATGCATTTGAAAAAAATAGAACACTTATATTTAAGTTTAGATCGTATTTGGTTGAAATTAGAAAATAATCAATATCTCACTATTTTATATAAACCAATTAAGTATGATATTGCTTTTACAGGATATAAAAATATATTTCATGAAAATTTACCAAAATAGGAATGTGCTGACTCCGAAAATATACACAACATTATTTCAAACATAATCAACACTTTTAAAACTGAAAACATTTTTTGTAATAAAAATGGCAGCTCAAAAAATGAGATTATAAATAAGATTTATAATGTTATTCTTAAATCATGCTAAAAGTAAAATTTATAAGAAACTATTAATACAATTTATTAGTTGCTTAAAAATAATTAATTTAACCATATATAATAAACAATTTAATTTGATGATAAATTAAAGTACTACTCAAAGAGATAACATTAACAAGGTAAAATTAAGGATAAATTATAATTTTTGATTACAAAATATGATAAAAATCCTTTACTTTTAGATCTATTTTTGTTTGAAAAAATTAGTGAAATGAGATAAAACTTGAAGAATTGGTAAAGCAGAGATTTCAATGAGATTTAGGAATAAAAATAATATTAAACATTATTATAAAATTACGAATAGAAACAGTAATAATTATAAGAAGTTGCTTCTGAAAATATTAACACTTTGATTGTTGGTTATTAGAAAGTAAAATTTGAACCTTATTTTAAATTTTAAATGGAATAGTCTTTAATAAAAAACACAATTGAATAAATAATGAAATCTAAAATTTTTAAATATTTTGAAAATTCCAAACAAATATATAATAGTAATACTAAAGATTTTCAAAATTATTTAGTAATTAATACTGCAATTCCAATCATAAATGATTTAATTGATGATTTTATCAGACTCTAATTTCTGATGCTGATAAATGATTTAATTTGAAATAGTATTTATAAATACAATTAATTCATTATATATATATTAATAAATATAATCTAAGAATTAATCAATCTCTTTGAATAAATTAATCCAATTATTTAAGATCAAAAAAAACTGTTTTTATTTAAGGTTATTAATTAATTCATATATTTATAAGAGATTATAAAAATATACTTCAAAAAAAAAGCTTAATTCGAAAATTAATTCCATAATATTTTTCAATATTATCTCATAAAGAAGTTAAGCTTTTTCTAATAACAAGATTATTATGTAATTCAATAAATTATTTTCAAATATCTAAATAGATAATTCAATTTCAATTAAATCCAAATTAATATTATTTCTACAGATGATGATATGAATAATTCAAAGAAAAATGTGAACCAAAATATCAGCATTCATTAATTTAAGTTATGATATAATATAAGAGTTAGATATTACTAGAATTCTAAATTTCCTAACTAATGATGGAAACTTTATTAGAGATTTCTTTAAATTGATACTCAAGAAATTATGATAATGAGAATCATCTTACAAAATAATATTTGGAAAGATTGATTATATGATAAAATCTAGTAATTGTGTTATTTATTTACGATCCAGTGAATTTATTCATTAAATGTTCAATCCTGAACTTATTTTGTATTTGTCCTCATTCAATCAACACTTTCTTATTTTATTTTAAATGGGCCTCTTATTTCATTTAAAATCTTCTGATTAGATAGTTTTATTATTATTAATAATAACAAATAGAATATTATATATATAAAATTAACAAAATATTAATTGTCTTTTAATATCAGTTAACATTATTCAATTATAATTATCTTATTTCACATTATTTTGGACTGTGAATAATGATATATTCTCCATAATTACTTATGCTAAATTTTTTTGAAAAGCAACCAACTGGATTACCAGGAAAATATGCAGAAATAAAATATTTATTCTCTTCTATTCCAACAATAGATTAAATTTCATTAAAATCAATCATAATATCATTTTATCTAAAAGTTATATGTTAGATTTTAGTATTTTCACAATCATTCTCGAATTAATTATTATTTATATTGAATTTATAAGACTTTAGATTCCTTTTTGGATCTGTAATAATAATAATTTTATGCTCGCTAATACAACAAATTGAATTAAGCATCATTATTGAAATTTATTGTATCTACTCCCATGTGTCTTGAATCTCATTTTATTTTTTTTAATAAATAGATAGTAGACCATCTCCATCTTTCCAGAAATCAGTTTTACAAATTAATGTATTTCTATATTCTAATATTTGTACACTTGAGCAATATGAATAGAATTTTTTATACCAAATAAATTTCCAAGTTGAGTTTTATTTTTGAAAGATTAAAATATCATCTCCATACTCTATTAATAAATCTTCATTTTTATTCATAAGAAATTATTGGAATCTACCACGTTGAAAACTATTTTCTATAGTTAATATCTTATAATTATTCATTCCTACAAATGATGATATACATCTCTTATTTTAATTCATAAAAATGAATTAATCTTACATCTTCATACTATATAGTGCTCCTATTTTCTTTCCATAAAGAGTTAAAATTTATTTTAGATGAGCATTCTGAAACTAAAAAACTTTAATTTAGGTATCAGTTGACAATAATAATAGATTAGATGTTCTATTAAAAGTTGAATTCAACCATTTTTACGAATTTGTCTCATTAATTATGCATATTTATTAATAATTCAATATTAGTTCATTATGATCCTAATTAACTAATTCTTTTTGTTATTTCCATTAAAAGGGAGACATTAATTTATGAAGAAAATTGATCATCAATTATAATAAACTTCAAAGATTATTTAAATCAATTTAATATTTAGAATTAATAAGATATGAATGCATTTGTTCTTTATATTCACATAAATTAGAATAAATCGTTAAAACAATATAATTTTTGTTTTCACCCAAATTAGACAGAGAGAGATTTGGTATAAATAACTTTAATATGTATAGTAATGGATATTGAGAGACATAATTTATTAATGTATAGAAAGAGTCATCCTTATTTACAAAATTTCTAATATCATAAAAAATAATTTGATTAAAAGTAAACATGAAAGTAATTGTATTAATAAAATAAAAATTATTGAAATGGAAGGATAAACAAGAATAATGATTTAATTTTATAACTTTTATTTATTAATTCATTTTTTATAGATAAAATAATAGTATTTACTCAAAGTAACTAGACTCATTTCAAATTTGATAAGAATTTATTTGCCCTTAATTGAATTGATAAAAATCTAAATTGAAGCCAAAAAATATTATAATATACTATGAATAGAATTAAGAAATTGATTTAATATTTTTACTTGATTCAATCTTTACTAAATATTTGCTTTAACATTTCATCAGAGGTGACAATAAATTATATTTATTACTAAATATAAATTAATTAAATTATAAAATTAGCTCTTTTTTTAATTAAACATTTTACTTTAAATTTGATTTTATTTAATGCTTTTAAGTTCAGCTTTGAATTTAGATTATCAGAAACCAAGGCAATATATTAACCTAATAATGAGAACACCAGAATATACAAAAGAACTGAGTTTTACCAAATTGAAATAATGAATCCATTCCTTCTAGCTTATAAATTACCTATCATTTTTCTATTGAATTTGATCGTCTCTTTCTAATATTTAATATCTTCTTTCTACTATTATGATGATTAGTTAATATTTGATCTTATTTATTCAATAAATTATTGACTAAAGGTTAATGCCCCTATCCTAATAATCTAGATCGTACTACAGGATCAATTCAAATGATGGCTATAAAGAAGTTTATACTTAATATTCTATTAGATATTTTTGAATCAGTTAAAATAATTTTTTATTAGTAATAGCAAGTAATAGCAAGTAATAACACCGATATACTTAATCCTGTCAATGGTTTAATAAAATCTTTAAGTCCTTATTTAATAATTGTATTTTATTATTTCTTAATATTCTCTTTTTAATCAACTAATTATAGTTCCAGTTTATTTCACTTTCATTTTTGGATTCTTTATTATATTTCAAATTACTTTTATTACCAACATTAGTTTTATCAACTAAAATTCTTAATCTAATTAGGTACTATGAGTATAAATTTCAAGTTGCATTTTATAGAAAATTTAATATCCAATCTTAATTTATTAATAATTGGAGTTTACTTAAATGTTTTACAAATCAGGCAGGATCATTAATTATTTAATACTCTAATCTTACAAGATCATTTTTTCTAAATAATCAATATATTAATCAATTGATAATAGTGATCATTTTAATTATGTCTGAAATACTTTTATTCCATTAACTTTCATTCTATGATAATATTATTTTGAAACCATTAAATGAATATTCCAATATTTATTTTGTTAATAAACTTTTATTATATTTTTATATTTAATATTAGCTCTTCTTTAAATGAATTAGTCTTACCAAAATGGTTATGATGTTTCAATCATTGTTAAATATTATTTAATACTGTTCAAGCAAGGGGTTAATATTGAAGAAATATCATCAATTACTAAACTTAACATAACCTTATACTCAAAATAAAATTACAAAGTATTTGTATCATCATGATTTAATCTTAAGTAGCTCATCATTGATAAACAATTACTAATATAATTCAAATCCTTTTTCTAAATTCTGAAGCAAGTACTATATTTAGTCATTTCTCCTACATAAATCTAATAGAAAGAAATGGATTGTTTTCTTTCACTCTTATTTTAATCTATAAAATGTATCAAAATATTCATAAGAGCTAAATTAAGCTACCATTTAAGATAAAGAATATTCTGTAATATCTTTCTAATTCATTTTCTTAATTGACAGTTTTTAATTTAATGGCTTTCAACTGAAGTAAACTTTTGTTTTAAATGTTCCTCTTCTGAATGATAATTACATATTTTCTTGAACACGATTTCATGAATCAAAATATCATAGGTCGTAAATCTTCTATTAAATTTATTCAGTAAATCATTTTTATATTTGTTATCGCCATTTCCAATCAACGATTTGGTTTATTTTATTGTTTTAAACATTACCTTCTCAAACCAAATTTCCTTAAATCACTTTCTTTTGATAATTAATTATTTTCTTTGCTTCAAAACTATTAAATTTACTTCATTAAGTTTTAGTAACAAATTTAATTTTGTGAATTTTTAGAAAATGCTATTTCACAATTACAAGCATTTAAGTTAAAGTACTATAACTCAGAAATGAAAAAGAGATTAAATTATAAGTTTTATGGTATCTAATACTTTTATGAGAATATTTTTATTCTAATTTATGTTATCAAATATTTCAATTACTAACAGATAATAATCAATGATCTACTGAGCTAATATTTAACCAAAAATTAAAACTTGAAGATAATTAATTAATCTAGTAATAAAATTATAATCATTTACAATAGAAAGCAATAAATTAGTATAAATTATGAATCATATAATAGTAATCCAAAAATAGAATGTAGAAAGAAAATTAAAAGTAAATATTTTTCAACCTAGGATATCTTATGTAAAAATGAAACTAAAAAGATAATAACAAAATTTCAATTATCTAATGGATGAATTTGGACAGTTTTTATATCTAATTAAATCTCAATCAGAAATTTTATCTTTAAGAAGCTATAAAACATGACATAAAATTGATAATAAAATATAAAAGAAAAGAAAATTAAATTTATATTTAATGATATAGGATTTAGAAAGTGATAGGAAATAATTAATATTTTTATAATTAAATGCTCAATTCATCATTTTTGTAAACCATATTTTTTACTTATTATTTTCGTCTTTATTTAGAATTTTTTTTTTTTCACTTTCAGCTTTAAATTAAACATTATTAATATCTTTTTTATTTTTCACACAATAATAATTAGCATATATTTAATAGCTTTATCATAATAATTAATAGCTTCTTAATATCTTTAAAATGATTCTTCAGAATAAGAAATAGTAATTATATATAAACAGGCTCCTAAAAATCGAATTATTATGCAACTTTACTGGCTATAGTTGACTCATAATTTGGATTTAAATTCAATGCTTAATCTAAAATCTTAAGAGCTTCATCATATTTATTCAACATTCTTAAAANTCTTTTGATAATTAATTATTTTCTTTGCTTCAAAACTATTAAATTTACTTCATTAAGTTTTAGTAACAAATTTAATTTTGTGAATTTTTAGAAAATGCTATTTCACAATTACAAGCATTTAAGTTAAAGTACTATAACTCAGAAATGAAAAAGAGATTAAATTATAAGTTTTATGGTATCTAATACTTTTATGAGAATATTTTTATTCTAATTTATGTTATCAAATATTTCAATTACTAACAGATAATAATCAATGATCTACTGAGCTAATATTTAACCAAAAATTAAAACTTGAAGATAATTAATTAATCTAGTAATAAAATTATAATCATTTACAATAGAAAGCAATAAATTAGTATAAATTATGAATCATATAATAGTAATCCAAAAATAGAATGTAGAAAGAAAATTAAAAGTAAATATTTTTCAACCTAGGATATCTTATGTAAAAATGAAACTAAAAAGATAATAACAAAATTTCAATTATCTAATGGATGAATTTGGACAGTTTTTATATCTAATTAAATCTCAATCAGAAATTTTATCTTTAAGAAGCTATAAAACATGACATAAAATTGATAATAAAATATAAAAGAAAAGAAAATTAAATTTATATTTAATGATATAGGATTTAGAAAGTGATAGGAAATAATTAATATTTTTATAATTAAATGCTCAATTCATCATTTTTGTAAACCATATTTTTTACTTATTATTTTCGTCTTTATTTAGAATTTTTTTTTTTTCACTTTCAGCTTTAAATTAAACATTATTAATATCTTTTTTATTTTTCACACAATAATAATTAGCATATATTTAATAGCTTTATCATAATAATTAATAGCTTCTTAATATCTTTAAAATGATTCTTCAGAATAAGAAATAGTAATTATATATAAACAGGCTCCTAAAAATCGAATTATTATGCAACTTTACTGGCTATAGTTGACTCATAATTTGGATTTAAATTCAATGCTTAATCTAAAATCTTAAGAGCTTCATCATATTTATTCAACATTCTTAAAATATATAAATATGAATTGAATATAATGATTCACCTTAATTAAGAAAAAAATAGAAACCTTTAGTCTATAATACCATTTTTATAATATATAATTTATCTGATTAAATAATTAAGTATAATTTAAATCCTAAAAAAATCCTTATGACCTTTTTAAAATATTTTTTCTACTTTTTCTCAATTTTTAATCAATTTTAGTATATTTTTAATTCTGTGATTTCATTTTTTAATTAAATGGTCATATACTCTAAATTTCTCACTACATTCTCTTATATATAACCCCTCATTTCATCATATTTAATCATTTAATTTAAAGCTTAATTCAATTAATCTAAATTTAATTGTAACAATTTCTCTTGAGATAATTGATATTTGTTTCTCAATTCTTATTTTAATCATCAAACATAAGTATTAGACTAAGCTTTCACATTCATTACAAATAATACAAAAAAATTCTATTAATGTATTTACATCATGTTAATCATGTAGATGAGCAATATGATCTCCATACCTCAAACATTCGTGGCAGTACACTCTATTAGCTTTACATTATTTATTAAAGCAAGCCAATTAAACAAAATCATGTTCTTCAACAGAACATTTTATAGCAAGTTCTCTATTCTAATCATAGACTTTATTAAAATTTATAGTTCTATAATAATGTCTTAAATTTAATTATAAATAAAGTTTCCATTCATAATACTAAAATAAATATACTAAAAGAATATATCTAAAAACATAAATAGAAAACACAAAGATACAAAATCTCATGTGAATCAAACAAAAACATTGAACTCTTTATAAAATAAATTATTTCTAAATTTAAGGTTAAGAATAATAATATTGATACATTAATATGATTCTCAATAATAGTAATTCATTTCATCGCTAATAATTATTTGAATATTACATTGTCCTTCCTTTATCTAAATCTATTTTTTCCCACACACCAACTTTTTTTTAATTTTAATATTCTCCTCTATAAATTATTTAATTATAACTAATTATAAAATAAATCTCTAAAACACATACCGATTAAACTCATCGTATAATTCAATCCACATTCCTGTTTTTGTTGTAAAATAAACATCATCATCTCCAATCTATTTATCATAAACTCCACCCCCACTTTTTTTAATTTATGACTATTCATATATACATCTAATAAAAATCAAAATTATCCCTAAATAACATATCCCATCTGCCAATTTTTAAACCATCTTAATATATCCCTTTATGAATAACTTGACGATAACTAATTTTAAATATAAAAAAACCCTTATATTACCTAGAAAACCAATCATTCAACTCAATCCACAATCCATTCTTTATTGAATTTTCAAAACCATTAAATCCTTATTTGTGATCATAAACACCACCCCCACTTGTTTAAATAAATACCATATTTTACTTACATACATTCAGATTAATCATACTCTATTAGTTATATATCCCATCTACCAATTTTTTTACCATTTTAATAATCTCCGATAAAAATGATTTAATTAAAACTATTAAGATAATTAAATCAATTAAAGTACATATTAAACTCTTCACTCATCTCAATCCATCTTCCTGTTTTAATTTCGCATCCAAAATTATTTTCTTTATATGATCCACCACCACTGTTAAAAACAATATTTTAATATTCATATACATCTATTAATATTTTTTATTATCACAAATATAAATATCCCATATACCAACTTTTTTACCATTTTAATATTCACCATGATAAATTAATTAACTCAACCTATATAGAATCAAATAAATACTCCCAAAAGTTTTAGCTCAATTCCATCCATTTCCCGTGCTTTTTACTCTCTTTATTATATGATCCGTCACCGCTAAATATTTAATCTTAAAATACATCACTTTCTCTTGAAAAATCCATATCCATTTACCAATTCTCTAATCATTACAGTACTCTCCAATTTCATAAACTTTGCCTCGACTTTTTATTAAAAATTAATAATAAATACATACTTCCAATAATTCTTTTTAATTTCAATCCATAAGCCTTACTTTTTGCCTTACTCTGTGTAATATCCTCCAACTCTCTCAAGTTTTTCACCAAGCCAAGTAGCAGTCCATTTGCCATTCTTCTTAAGATTCTGACCATAATTTCCTTACCATTAAAAATATAAGATTTAATCTAAATTATTCATAATTTCAGGATCCACAGAAGTGTCTACAATTTCATCCCTAATTTGCTTTTTTATGCAATATATACATTCTAATATTTTATCCATTTTATATGTAGATAATGTTATTCTTAGTAAATGTAAGAAAGATTTATGTTTTCACAAATCTAAATTATTGAGGATTCCACATGTCACATAGATATTCCTTTATGTTTTACAACCCTGATTTCAAATTTTGTAATGGCTAGCATGATTGAGCTATATTATTTTCACAACAGTTCTGTTATTCATCAGATGTTCCTTCTGTATTTCTTGGGGAGCTTTGATTTAATGAATTCATATATTCTTAAGCAATTAGTATTTAAAATATTAAAATACGTTTAATGAATTATCAAAAAGAAATTATTTAAAAAATACAAAATCTCAAAAGATTTATTAATATCAATAGCTATGCTATGTTGAAATAGAAATTCATTATTTCTTGTATTTAGATTATTATTAAAACAAGGAATAGAGTATTTATCTAAAAATTTTTTTATTAATATTTATCTCAGTTAAGAATATAAAATATAAATATATGATTAGTTTATATTAAAATAAAATAATATTAGAAAGTGCTGAGTGTATATTTTTGTATTATTTATTTAAATATATTGTCAATAAGTTTAAATTTATCTGTTTTAAGTATCATTAATTGATATAAAATGAGAAAATTTAAATAATTTAAGGAGACAATATATTTGACATATATTATTAACTTTATGAAATATTTTCAATATTCCAATAAATATAATCATAATTGTGCAATATTTGGTAAACCCATATTTTTTTAGAAATGTTCTTTTCATCAGAATGAGTAAAATATTTATATTGAATAAAAATTTTTACATACAAGCTTTAAATCAAAATGAATTTCGTGTTTAATTAATAAAATATCTTATTACATAAATTCAAAATTACATTCTAATTTTGATCTTCTACTCATTTAAGTTAAGTATATCTTACAATGGCAATTAAAAAAAATAAAACATTATTTCTAGTTGAAAAAGAATCCTTCAGTAAATTTTTTGCATTTCCAATTGGATAATTAAAATAGTTGTAATTTTTTTACAAGAGTTAGAGTATTTAATTGATTTTAATATTTTATTTGTTGATGAATTAAAATTTGTATTTATACGTTATAAACCAAATAATATATTTACACGCCCTACTTATAAGTATTAAAATTATAATTCAAAAATTTATTTGAATAAAATAATAAACAAAAATGATTATCAATTAAAAACATTTAATATATTTAAATAATTTAATATTCTAATACCTATTCTAATATAAAATTTAAATAAATAAAATTGAAGATTTTTTGATAAATGATTACAAGTGATCAATAATAAGAGGTTAATTAAAGAGAAAAAGAAAAATAATTTGAAAATAATAAGATTGAAAAATAAACCAATAATAATGAATAATCATTAACTATGTTGAGGAATATCTAAATCATACTAAATAAGGATCATCATCATTTAAATGTTGCCAGAATTTTATCATGGGAATTAGATAATTAGAGTTCTATTGAGGTTCAATATGAAACTAATGGAAATTCTTTGGAAGTCTTCTTATAAAAAAGAAGATCTCCTTTACAAGAAAATTAAATAATCAATATTTTCTCTCAAATTTTACAAGGTTATCATCATCTAAAAAAATTAAATATCATTCACAACAATCTTAAAGTTGATAATATTTTCATTAAGTAGATTCATAGGGAAAATACGTTTATTGTGAAGGTTTATAATTGATTTTAATAATAGATTTCAAATTATATTTAGACTATAATCAGTGATTTGCCAGAAATATCTATATCACAGAATGCAGAAAATAACAAGGATATATCTTAATGTAATGAGAAAAGCGAAATTTATTCAGTATATTATTATTGTATAATATTATTAGTTAGGAATAATATTATAATAATTATGTTATGGAACAAGATTTTAGAATAAATAAGAATTAACTAATTAATCAATAAAATAAATAGAAAATAGTTAAATTTAATCATAGGAAAAACTATAATCAGAAAATTTATTATAATTAATATAAAAAATGATTATTGATGATAATTTGAAAAGAATAAGTTGGAATGAATTAATAACAAATTAAGATTTATAACCAACATATTTAATATTGCAATAAAGATATTTTATTGATTTAAATCTTATAAAAAATGAAGAATATTTTTGTACTTTTGATTTGTAAAATGAAAATCTAAATTTACTAACTAAACGTATTGAAACAAATATTAACTAAAATGAGATAGAAGATATTAGATTAATGAAGAGCAAAGGAAAATTTGAAAATATTATAGAATATATAGAAATTATAGAAGAGTATCCTTTTACTTATTTGATAATGGAATATTGGGACTAAAAACTTTATGAATATGCTAATGATAGATAATTTTAATTTACTTAAGCAGAACTCTTGAAATTTTTATAAGAAATCATGAAAGCTTATTTAGAAGTTTAAGCACTAAATTTCGTGTAAGTGAAATTAAATCCATAAAATATAGTAACCAAATGGAATGATAATTATCAAATAACTTTTAAGGTACTATTAATTGACTACATTAATTAATAGATTTTTTTAACAGGATAGTTAAAACTATTTACTTTTGGTAATAAATCTCCTATAGACATGTTTCATTTTGATGCTCCTGAAATGATACTTGGTTCAACTTTACATTAATAATCCTATATTTTCTCAGTAAATCATCTGTTATATAAAAGATAGGAGCTATTTTACATTATATTACTTATGGAAAATATGTATATCCTTCCGAATTATAAAATGTTTAAGAGTTAAAGGAATTTTTGAATAATTTCAATTAAGAAGGTTTTTTGTGTTTAAAACCTTTTAAATATGTATTATTTATTTATGGATTTAGTTTAATGATTTATATTTGCAATTAATTGATGAAATGTTAATATATTCAGTTCAATCCAGGATTGAATGGGAGAGTTTAACAAAAAAAGTAATATTGATATTATAAAAATCACATATCATATATGGTTAAATTAAATAAGTATAAATGAACAAAGAAGAAAAAGAACATTTTCATAAAATTAGTAATTTTTATTAAAGTATTTTATAGCTATGATTTTAAAAAAACCATTAAAAAATAATGATAAGCTCAAATATTATGATGAATTGTTAGATCTTAATCCTTATAATTAAAGCTTATATTATAAAAAAGGTACTTAAAAACTATTTTTAGGATATCTTTTATATGGAATGAGATATATCCTTTAAGCAATAGAATGTTTTGATTAGGCAATAAAAATCAATCCTAAAAAAGAATCAGCTTATAGAATGAAATGTATTTGAAACCTAATAATTATTAGCTTATCTTTTATCAATGATAGGAAGGAGTTAAGATTAAATTAAATGTCAAGAAGAATTAATTAAAATTAATCCAAAACTTGATAATTATAGGTCTAAAGGTATTTTACTTCATTTATGTCAAGCTCTTACTTTACGCGATATGAGTAAGGTTGATGAAGTAATTGAATGTTGTGATGAAGCAATTCAATTAGATCCAAAAGATTAATTTGCATATGAAATGAAAGGTTATATAAATTTGATATCATTCATTAGCTGTTTTTCTAAAAGATTTATAATTATATGATGAAGCCATATATGCTTATGAATAACTATTTACACTTTCTCCCAATTCTTGGGATCTAATAGTAATAGGTAGCTTTTATTTCAATTAAACAGCTGAGTGCTTACACATCTAGGGAAGATTTGATGAAGCAAATAAGAAGTATGATGAGGCTATCTAATTTAAACCAGATAATACCTATCATTATTAATCGAAAGGTATTTTAATTGAAGAAATTTTAGCAAAATTCTTAAGCAAAATAGGAAAACTAGATGAAGCCATAGAAATATTAGATAAAGGTATTGAAACTAATCCAAATGATTTAACAATTTATAGTATTAAAGGTTAAATTGAAAATATATAATTTTAGTGGAGTTCTTAAAAGGATTAGGAAGATAAGAAGATGCAATTAAGTGTTTAGAAATAGGTATTAAATAGAATCCAGGAGACATAAAATTCTTATTGTAACAAGGTATCAAAATAGTAATTAAAATATTTAGCCTAATTTTTACAGTAAATTTAAAAATATTAAGAAGCAATCGAGTATTTTGATTAAGCAATATTACTAAATCCATAAGATACTACTAATTATTTAGATAAAGGTATAGATGAAAATTAAAAAAATAAAAATATAGCTTCATGTCTAAGATATTTAGATCGATATGATGATGCAATAAAATGTTATGATTGGGCAATATAATTTAATCCACACAAGGATAATTTGTTTATGCAAAAAGGTTATTAAAATATTTCATTTAATCATAGGTGAATTATTAAAAGATATTGGAAGATATAATGAAGCTATTCAATGTTTTAATACAGCATTATAAATTGACTCCAATTTATCTTATTGTTATGTATTGAAAGGTAAATAACTATATGCAATTCTATATATTAGGGTAATGTTTATAATACTAAGGGAATTACTAAGAAGCATTGAATGCTTATAATTCTGCATTGAAAATAGATCCAAATGAATCATGTTATTTTGATTACAAGGGTATTATTTGATTCTTAAATTGAGGCAATTGTCTAATGTTGTTGAAACAATATGGAGAAGCAATAAAAGAATTTAATGAGTCTATTTCAATATATAATGGTAATTTTTTAAATTTTTACAACATTGGTAATACATATCTATTAGTCTTTAGCAAAATGCTTACAATATTTAGGAAAATATGACGAGGCAATAGAGTATTACGATAAAGCAATCTAATTAAATTCAATGGGATATTATCATTAAGAAAAATGTATAATTTAAATAATATTTATTAGAAAATTGTTTAGAAGAATAAAAGAACTGTCAGAAAGCAAAGCCTTGAGATAAAAATGTGATTAAGTATTTTGTATAAATTATTATTCATTTGTTTTTATTTTGCAAAATTATTATTTTTTAAATTAAAAAATATTGTTATTTTATGATAACAAAATATCTTATATCAACATTAACACTAAAAACTTCAAATTTAAATATAAATTTAATATCAAAGTTATATTTTTGAAGGTTTTACTTCTGGAATGTTTCTATTTGAATTCCATGATATGTGTGTTTATAATTAGTTTCTAGAATTTGAAGAAGAACTGAAAAGTTATTTTCTCAACTAATCCTAAATTATTTAACTTTAGTTTTATTAAAATGTTTTATATTAAGGAATTGAGAAGTTAAATTCTTAACTATTAAAAGCTGCCTGAACAATGAATGTTGAATTCGAGATTGAATATTGATATCATTTAAATTTAATATAAAGTCAATATCTAGAGTTAAAGAGAGTTTATTAAAATCTTAACAACTTTAGATTAAAGAGACAGAAGTATTACCTTAGTTACCGTTTGTTAATAACTAATAATAACACTAGTTTATATCTGCAGATGCTTAGTATATTAATTAAAACATCCTTATTGTCTTTTATTCAATAAGATAAAATTTTAGAATAATAATAAATAGTTATAATCGGAAAATTATTGAATGGATATAATTCAATAATTTTGTTTTTTAATTTCTATTTTCTACATATTTGAGTTTCTTTATTAACTATATTAATAATAATCATTGTCAATGGAACACTATAATTCAAGGAATTTTGGATTTTCAACAGAGTCATTATTTATAAAATATGTAAGCTTTATTTTCAGTTGCAGAACTAATATGATTTAAAAGTCACTTAATTTTTTGAAACCTATAACTATTTCTCCAAAGTAATTAGGAAATAATTAAAGAAGTCTGCTTAAAACAATCTGTATTAGATTTGGAAAACTATTCTTAAAATTATAGAGAGATTAGAAGAATAGTAATTGAAAAAGCTAGATTTAAAATATAATTATCTATTCTGTACATAGTTAAAAGCTAAAGAATTACTTGAGAATTACAAGTATCAAATAAATCTGCATTTACAGATATTATTTTTTTTTAAATAGAAAAATGAAATGGCTTTAAAAGAAACAACCCATTAATTAGTATCCAATTCCTTTTAACCTTTAAATAAATTAAAATAAAAAAAAAAAATGGGCAGAATCTAATCAAAATTGATATGAAATTGACAAAATTCAAAAACTTAGGATGTTTGCAGTTTGGTTAATAAATGGAAAAATATCTTTATATAATAGATATTTTAATTGATGAATTACTCACTTAAAATTACGTATATAAACAAGAACTTAAAACATTAAGCAAAATTGAAACAATTATTTCATCTTCTTTAAAAAGTCCCAATAAGCTATAAATTAGATGAAAATGCTTAATTGAGTATTGAAATATTAAAACAAATGTTGATTTATAATATGTTGTATTTAAAATAGAAATAAATTATTAAAATACCTTAGTATTATATATTAAAATTAATAATTATATTTTATTTAAATCATAAGACTATTATTCATAATAAAAATTTATAAAATCTACTTAGATATATATAAGAAAATTTTTAAATTATAAATAAAAAATATAAAGTTTTTAGGATTATGTCATATATATTATTGTATTTGTAATTGATTTCGAAGGGTCACAAAACATATGTTTTTAATAATTATATTTTTTCAATCAGCTAAAAAAGGAATGAATAATTATAGAATTAAAATATTTGAAATAAAAATTAATGTCAGGGATAATATTGAATTAAAGATTTTAGAAGGTAGAGGAAATGTGCTTAGAACATGCAAGAATATTAAAATAAAATCTTTTTGCAGGAGTATAATTTAAATTGCCAAAATAAATAATGGAATTGAATAGGTAATAAAATTTTTGATTCTCAAGTGAAATCTTAAATTTATCGAGTGAATGGAGCAGAAGTTTTCCCAAAAATGCTCATTCTCAACAGAATGCAAAAAATGATGGAATGGAGGATAAATTGATAAATTTGTACAAATAATGTTTAAATGAATTTGTTACAGATTTGTATGAGTAATTTAAAGAAACCTAAAATCAAAAAGACATAGTAAATATATACATATGAAATTTAGACCCTTTAATTAGTGGCTAAGCATTATCATGATTACAAAGCATATTCATATTGGCTTTATAAGATCTTTTATCATCTAGATTCAAGTACTTTATCAACAGTAGGGGCTGATTTGCATAGTCTCTCACTTGAAGCCATACAAAAAGGGTATTTTAAAGAAGGTAAGGAGAAATTATTTAGCACAATTTTGGATGTTTTATTGGAATCAAGATAGTAGGAAATTTTGTTGGATAAAAAAGTTAAATCATTATGTGAATTATTTATTGTAATGGATGCGAAATCAGTAAGGTTAAAATATGAAAGAGAATAGAGTATGTATGATTATATTTGCTTAAATTTTTAAGAGACAGAAAAATCTTATAGAGATAATTTTGAAAATAAATTTATTGATGAAGTAATAATCATAAAATATTGTTTAAGACTAAGAAATTTTATAAAGTTTAAATTTCTGAAAGAAAAAATTTGGGAGCAATTGAATTTGTTAGATGGGCACTTAAAGTAATTTAATTAGAAGAGTAAATGAGTTTAGAAAGTTATTCTAAGAGTTTTGATAAGATAAAAAATTCACTTAATCAACTTTTCGTAAAGGAATAAGCATAACGACTTTCAACTACAACAGTATAATATTTGTTATCTGTTGATGGAATAACATAATTGGGAGAATTGTATAATCTAATATCTAGGGAGAAGGATTGTGTAAAATTTATTGCTGAAGAATTTACAGTTTATTTTTTATCTCAAGTTCGTTAAGTGAATTAAAATATATCTGACCAATCGAAATAATAATCATAAGGATAAAATAAATAAGGTATTTATCTAAATTTATTCTTTTAGTTTTAGCAGAGAATTTATGTAATTAAATTTTGGAAATTATGGAAAAGGCAAAAGATATTATAAAAACTTAAATGCAAAATAGTAGTAAACTTATATAAGCTTATCAAAATGCATTTACAACAGCATTTAATGAAGTTGATGAGGCTCCTTTTTACGTTGCTCTTTTTGCTGATATGTTAATAAGAAGCGATAAAGGTATTAATGAAATAGAGACTGATATAAAATTGAATAAAATTTTTACTCTATTTTAATTGCTATATTAAAGAGATAAATTTCTTTAACATCATTAAAAATTTTTATCTTAAAGATTACTTAATCAAATAAATTAGAATTTAAATTTAGAAAAAAATTTATTATAAAAATTTAAAGGAGAAACCTAAACTAATGTTCTGTAAGTATTATAATTTTTGATTTTAGAGCTTAATTGTAAAATATGGTGAATGATATTTAACAATCTTTAAGATTTATATCTGATTAGAAGATTCATAAAAATTAAAAATTTGAATTGTCAGTCTATCTCTTATCTTTTGGTTGTTGGCCAATTGGAAAAATCTAAGATGAAATTATTCCTCCTTTATAGATGATAAATTCTTTAAGGTAGATATAAATGTATATTCTAAAAGTCTTTATGAACAAATTTATTAAGAAAAAAATAATGGAAGAATTCTTTAATGGACTTTCAATTATGGATCAGGTGAAATAAATTATAAAATATAGAATGATAAATATTATTTTAGTGTTACAACACTTTAAATAATATCATTTTTATAATTTAATTAAGAGGATTAATTAACTATTCAATAAATTTATGATAGAACATAAATAAATTAAGTATTTTACATTCATTATAAGATAGATTGATTTGGAAAACTCTCTTATTCCCTTTATTTGTAATAAGATTTTATAAAGATAAAAATAAGATCTTGATACTTTTTCTGATAAAAATGAAATTATTAAATTGAATCTTGTTTTTAATAATAAGTAAAAAAGAATAAAAATGTTACCACATTCTAAGATGTAACCTAAACGTGAAGTAATTTATAGATAATTATTAATAATAGAGAAAATTAGGAGAATTAACTTAGGAAGAAAAAGAATATGAGGAATAACTTATAAAACAAAGAGAATTTGTTGTTGATTCTTAACTGGTTAGAACTATGAAGAGTAAAAAAACAATAAAACATTTCGATTTATTAGCATAATGTTAATAAATGATAACTATATTCAAGCCAGATGTTAAATTTGTGAAAAAAAGAATAGAAAATTTAATTGAAAGAGGATATATAAAAAGGGATGAAGTAGATTGGTATTAAATACAATTATCTTAGCAATTTATATCATTATTTAAATTGAGTAATTATAAAAAGTCATAATATTAAAATTTAATTAATTTTATAGATAATTTATAATTATAAAATATATGTTTAACTTTTCTTAATTTATTTTTTCATGTTAATTCTAATAGGTTTACATTTTAATCTATTAATCTATTAATTATGTATTATGTATTGATCAACAATATTATCATAATAGATGATATATATATATAATCATAATCTTCAATACTTTTTAATTAAATATGTATATCCAAATTCTTTTGGTATTTAATGTTAATCATTTAGGAAAATCTCACAAATTTTATCTAATTAAATTAATTTTACCTAAGATGGTATTTACATTTAATTTTATTAGGATATGTAAAATTACTATTAAGATTCTAATTTAATTTTTGATTCATGAGTAGATGAAACTGATTATCTATGTTTTATTGCAATACTTTTTCCTTTTGATAAATCAATATAATATTACTTTGTTAAATTTATGGTTCTTAAGTAACAGAGAAATCTTGAGGTAAAGATTATCTTCTTTTATTATTTTGAGTTTTTAATAACTATAATGTTTGACATCTAATGTTTCTAATCTCCATAGTCTTTGGTTCATGTCTATAAATTTTCATATATAAATTTACTCTTAAATTTCTTATGATAATTCATTAAATCTTGATAAACTCTCTTTAAAAAAATCATGTTCTAAACATTATTATAAAGTGAATCTATGACGTGGATTTTTTCTAACCATAGAAATAATCAAAGATTTTAGAGATTATGGAATACAAACACGATCATCAAAATTTATTTATGCATTAACATTTTATCTTAAAGTATCATCTTTTGTCTTACTTTTGAAGGGATGAGTATTAAAAAAGCTATTTAATTTTTCTACTCTTACATTTCATATATAATTACACCAATACTAAACACATCACATGACAATCCATACATCTTAGACTTTTCTCTATATTCTATTATTTCAGGTGCCACATAACCAGGAGTACCACATTTATATAATATATGCTATTGTTATTTAATTGAGGTTGAAAATCCAAAATCTCCAATTCCAAATTACCAATCTTAAGGATCTTTATTTTTGTAAAGTATATTGAATGGCTTTAAATCTCTATGCATAATTCCCTAATTTAGATATTAAATACTTTGGTATGCATATAATAAACAGTTTCAATTAACACTTTAGCCAATTCTCTTTTTATTAGGAAATTAAAGTTTTTTATTTTATCCATTAATTGTCCTCCTTCAAATAAACTTATAACTAATTATATATGTTCTATTTATTAATATGAATTCTACTTTCTGATTCATAAACTTGATGTAATTTCATTATATTTGGATGATCCAAACTTCTCATCATAAAAATTTCTTCTAATAATGTTTTTGATCTTAACACACGATGTCTTCCAGTTGCTTATTCTTTTTCAATCTATTTTACTGCATATAACTAATGATCTTAAGTATTTTAAGCCAAAAAGACCTAATTTATTTACTAATATAATACTTATGCTGTAGAACCAGTCCCTATATTTTGAAGCAATTAATATTGATCATTAAAACCATCAATAATACAAAATCTCTATAGTTCTCTTAAGAATAATTCAATCTCAGGTGAAAGATTAAAGTAAAGATCAATTCTACTGCGATCTCTAATTAGAGTAAGACAGTTGTCATAAGGAATATTTTGGGTTGCATTTTTTTTGATTATTTTAAAATAGACATTCTTTAATACAACAAATCCCCCCAATTCACCATTCTTTCTACTAACTATTATATATGTACCTCTCTGAAATAAAACAAATGTTGTTAAAAGATTTTATATCTCCTACCGATAAACTTTTTCAATATTTTCTAAGTTTTATACAATGTTATCATCTCTCTTGAATCTTGGAGTAATCCTTACATGAGGTCATTTATTAATTAATAATCTTTTCTCTTCCAAAATTATTCAGATCCAGAATTATATACAAAATATAAGTTTGAGCTTTGCATTTATAAAAAATAATAATCTAATATATAATTTCTCATTATATTTATTAGTAATTACATATAGCATAATAATTCTAAATTCCTAATATTATGCAATAAACTATTATTATAATCATAGGTTCTTAATTCCTAATTATAATAATCATAAATCTATAATTTAGTTACAAATATCTACAGATATTTAATTATCTATAATCTATATTTTATATTCTATTCATAATTTGTTTAAATAATCATCTCACTTTCTATTTATTTTTTAATTCTCTTCCAATTCAAAATATCATTAAAACTTTAGGATTGCAACAAAAAATAAGCTTATCATTGAAAGCATTAATCTTTCTTACTAATTTTATAAATTACTCACTTCAAAAGAGAAATTTTGTAATTATACTAATCAATTACATAATCATTAATTAGTTGCCTTGCTCTTTTTAATTATCCCATTTTATTAGTTCTTTATTTGTTATTATGTATATTAATTTTTCAAGATGTTCAGTTCAAATAATGTCTTGAAAATATTAAAAATAATCTTCCTTCAAATAAAATTGCTAAAATGTCAACTATTAATTAAAAATAAGCTCACAAATTCCTACTTAAAATTAAGTCTTTTTATCTTCTCTCCTAATTACTAAAATATAAAACTTATTTATTTCATTATTTGAGTGAAATAACATGAATAATAGATTAAAAAATCTTAATAAAAATAATTTCTTGTTTTTTTTAATAAATTTATATTTTTATACTTAAGAAATAAATATTATAAGAGATTAGACTGTCTATTAATTAGAACTTCCTTTTATATTTGTCAATAATTAGTTATCAAAATTGTTAATTCTACTATTAACCATTTTCTTTCTCTTTCATTTCTTTCTAAATTTCATGTATAAAACAGAAAAAAACAGTCACCTTCTATTCTTAAAACAACTTTGGTTCAGTATGACTTTATTTATTCGAAATAATTTATGATATTCAATTTTATAATTTAAGTAAAAATATTTCTAAGGATTACTTATAGATTATTATCTGGTAATAAATTCATATAAATGAAATTATTTATTATCCAACATCATAAAAATAAATCATATAATGATATAAACAAAATATTTAATAATCTTATAAACGAATAATATATACATAAACCAAATTATTGTGAATCTAACAATAATAAGAGATTCCCTTTTAACAATTTTATTTAATTAAATTATTGAGAACATTTAATTAACTTTTTTGACATTTAGATAAATGATGATTTTCAAAATCTTTTTATTTTGAATTGGATTAATCTAAGATATTTAAAATAAATCAAGAAGGTCTAATTTAATTATAACCAATTTTATAAAATATAGATAAATTTAAAATAAGCAAATAAATATGAAATTTTATAAATTTTGCATTCTTTTTATAGTTGTGGTAATAATTCTAAAATTGAATTATGTTTCTATCTCTTTTTTGTTATTATTTTTAATTTTAATTATACAATATTTATATATCCTTTATGAATAATTATAAGTATTTTTGTTATTAATAGATTTAAAGGATTTGTTATTTCACTTTAATTTTCCTAAAGAAATCTCATACTTTCTAAAACTATTCTGTAATTTTGTTGATATTTTCTCATTAACATCTCCAAAGATGATTTTATTGAAAATGCTTTTGGAATCTTTTTTTGTTAAATTAGTAATGCACTCAATAAAGTCATATTTAATAATGCTTTTTGTTTAACAGAGTTATTTGAATATCATTTCAGAAATTGGCTTTATTTAAATGTTAGATTAGGTAGTCTTTAAAGAAATTTAAAAGATCTTTTTAAATTAATGAAGAGAAGAATTTAGATCAGAATAATTGTGTTCGTCGAATAGTATAATTCTAGTTTTGATGATTTTGCTTTCTTTACTATCTAAAACTATCCATTTGTTTTGGAGACTTTAATTCGTTCATATTAAAAGTATTTTATATAATATATATGGGATAATGTCTCAATTGTTTTAAAAAAAATGAGGAAAGTTAATAAGATGTTGTATCTTAATAGGCGAACACCAATTCTAAACCGCTTAATGAGTATTAAACAGAAACTATTACTTTTAATAAGCAAAGCATAATTCTAACCAATGATTCTCAAAAACTCAACGTGACAGACTTTAAATTGTTAAAGACATTAGGAAGGGGAAATTTTGGAAAAGTATTGTTGGTTCGCAAGCGTTCATCTGGGAAGATTTATGCTATGAAAATTGTTAACAAATATGATTTATAAGTTAAAAAGTAAGTGGAATATGCTAAAACAGAAAGAATAATTTTAGAAAAGATCAATCATCCATTTATAAGTAAACTCCATTATGCATTTTAAACTCAATAAAAGCTTTATTATGTTATTGATTATTGTGCAGGTGGGGAATTGTTTTTCCACTTAAGAAGAGCATATAAATTTAAAGAGAATTAAGTTTAATTTTATGCTGTTGAAATTATTATAGCCTTAGAATATTTGCATGATTCTAAGATTTTATATAGAGATCTAAAACCAGAAAATATCTTATTATGTTCTGATGGTCATATCAAATTAATTGATTTTGGATTATCTAAAATTATAAGCAATCGAGATAAGCCATCCTATTCGATTGTTGGAACTCCAGAATATCTTGCTCCTGAAATATATTCTGATGATAAATTAGGTCATGACGAATCCTGTGATTGGTGGAGTTTGGGAGCCTTGATGTATGAAATGTTAACAGGAGCAGCACCATTTTATAGTTAGGATCGTACACTCATGTTCAGAAATAGAAGTGAAAAACCAATAGAAATGAAACCATGGTTTTCTGAAGGTTGTTCGAGTCTACTCACAGGATTATTAAATAATAATGTAAAATATATTCCATATTATTAGCCTAAATAAAGAATTAATATATAATAAATAAAAAAACATCAATTTTTTTAAGATATTGATTGGAATTAAGCCTAAAATCGTTAATTAATACCTCCAATAATTCCAGAATTAAATGATGAATTAGATTTAAGATATTTTAATAAAGTAATCAAATTTTAATTGTAAGATGTTTTTGGATGAACCTGCAATTGATAGTCCAGTAAATAAAAAAGAATTATATGACAATTACGATTATTTTACTTACAATTCAGAAGCAATAACAGAATCTTGAAAGATTAAGAATTTATAATTAAAATAAAATCATTATCTTTATTTATATATTTTGTAAGATTTTACTAAAATAGTAAGGCTTTTTATGATTAATTATTTTCCTCAAATAATTTATATGAACAATACAAATAAATGCAAAATTATTTTACTTACAGGCTATTTAGGTTCTGGTAAAACTACATTATTACAATATATCCTAAAGGTGTAGAATCTATATTAAGTGGCTGTAATTTAGAATGAATTTTCAGATGAAATGGGAATTGAAGCACCTTTAATGGTAGATAATAATGGAGATATATTTGATTCTTTTTTTGAATTGCCCAATGGTTGTATATGTTGTTCTGCAAAGTAAAATAAAAAGTCATTAAAAGAGGATAATTGATGACAGCCATTTAATATTTTATTGAGAAGAAACCAAATATTCAATTTATAATAATTGAATCAAATGGTTTAGCTGATCCTTCAAGTTTAATAAAGGAGTTATGGGCTGATTAAGGATTAAATTTACCAGCAGAATTAGCAACAATAGTAGGTTTAATTCCATCCCATAAATTTAAGACACTTTATGAGTTAGAAATATTTAGAAAATAAATAATACATGCAGATTTATTGTTGTTAAATTTTTAAGTATATCAATTATTATTATTATTTAAAGGATTTGTGTAAAGAGGATGATATAAATTTAATAGAAAAGTAATTAAAAATAATTAATCCTAATTCTAAATTACTAAAATCTGTAAAAGCATAAATTGATATTCAAAATATTTTCGAATCAGAAAAAGCAGACAATAAAATATTTGATTAAGAACATATCCATTTTGAAGAAATTGGAAATATAAATAAAATATTTTTAAATATAAATACTCCTAATATTACTCAACAAGAATGGAATATTAAAATTGGATAAATGTTGTGGGAAGAAGGTTTGAATATAATGAGAATTAAAGGGTTGTTATTTTGTAAAGATGAATAATTCATGTATTCATTATAAGGAGTGGAAGATATCTTTGAAATAACTCCTACAAATTTAGCAATATCAAATCAATAATCAATTAGTAAAATTTTGATTATTGGATAATAAATAACAGAAGAACTGATAAAAAATATTATTCTTAATAATTGAAACATGATATAATAAAAATTAATTGTAAACACTAAAATATTTTATTATTATTATTATTTGTTTATTCATTATTTAAAAGAAATAAATTAAAACAATTTAATTAATATACTAAATTCAAATTATGAAAGTCAAGATAAAAGAATGGAATGCTGTTGCTTCATGGATATGGAGTTTAGATACAGATAGATGTACAATTTGTTAGTTAGCATTCGAATAACCTTGTCCTAGATGTAAATTACCAGGAGATGAATGTCCTCCTGTAACAGGTGCATGCAATCATCATTTTCATTTACACTGTATAGTTAGATGGACAGAAGAATAAGATTATTGTCCACTTGATAGATAAAAATGGAAAGTTAAAAATTGATAATTTTAGTCTATTGATTTATTTAACTATCTTATAATATATATTTAATAAATTTAAGTGATAATTCAATTTAATTCATCATATATAAAATAATATAATTAGTTATAAAAAGTCTTTTATTCATGAATTCCATTTATTGAAATTTATTCAATTATGTCATAATTTATATATGAAAAAATTTTGGAATTTCATATGTTGTACTTTAGATTCGGATGAAGAGGAAATCATTGAAGAGAAATAAATAACAATAAAAAAAGATGAAAAGACTTCTTTAGAACTTTTTGGTAATTTTGAGACATTAAATTACATGCTTGTTAGAATGACTTAAAAGAATTTTTTCGTTGATTTTTCCATGAGAAAATCTAAATTAATAGAAAAGAATCCTTTATCAGTTTTCATATCATATATTGATAATAATGTATTATATGAATAGGATGAGTCAAGTTATTTGATACCAGAAAAAGTACTACAATATATTGGTAGAAGAATGAGGGAAGTCAAACCTTCTTTTATTGTAGATGGTCTATCTAGAAGTGGTATTAGTGCAATTTAGTTCTCTTCTGAAACTAATACTTTTGTTTTGGGAAATAACTTTTCAATGTAATAAATAAAAAATGCTAATCATAATACAACAATATGTAATTTAAATATTAGATGTGAATTTCTATAAGCTATTATGCCTAAATTACCTATCATTTAAAATGATGTCTTTTTCATTTAACCAGACTATTAAATTATTGATGAAAATTTATCAATTAACAATATTTTCCCATCAATTTCTGATATTTTGGATTATTTTTTGGAATGGAGTAAAAATTTAATACTTGTCTTACCAATTTAAATAGATCTTTAAATTTTTTGTGAAGTATTTTGTTAAAAATTAAAGGAAAAGAATTTAGATCATTTGATCTTTGAAATATAAAGAATTTAAATAGATGGTGAATTATATTATTATTTTATTTATTTTGGAGAAATTGCTGCAGTTTAAACTCAAGATTAATATATGTTGATGACTGAAATGACATTAGAGGATTCCAATCAATAGAATTTATTTGATTCAACTTACATGTTATTAAAAAATATTGGTTATACAACAAATGCAAGAGAAATCATGAATATTTTACTTTACTCTAAATAAATGTCATAGTCTGAAACTACTTTACAAATTTTAATTAATCAAGTAAATATATTTAAATTATATCTAATTAGTTACTTATGAAAGGACTTACAAATGAAGAAACAATCAAATAATTATTTGGTGATGTAGATGTATTGTAATCTTCAACACCAAAATATAATCAAATCCAAGTTTAAGAAAATACATTTGGATAAGATTCTTAAATTAAATAATGCTATGAACAGTAGCAAACTTAAAAAAAAAAATAAGCAAAGAAATCTCAATTTATATCATTTAATATTCCTAGTGAATGATGTATATAAATATATTTAATTTATTGATTGCTTAAATCATTGTAATAAATAATATATATAGAAAAATTAAGATGAACTATCATCGAAATCCTTCTCAAAATCATCATTATAAAACACTCAAAAAATCTAACTTTTACTTCCAATCGTAATCATATTTAAAATTTTCATTAGCCTTAAAACAGATACTCAAATTTAAAACAAACAAAATGAAATTCTTACAAATCTTAGAACAGTTATTCAGTAGAATGAAATATTGTTATCAGAAATCAATGAAAATATACCTATTGTAAAAAAAAAGGTTCGATCTTAGAAATTATCTTGTGAATGCTCTATCTATTGAAAAAATAAAAATAATTAATAATATAATCTATATAACTATTTAATAACTATTAATATAATGTATACTATAATCGAAACTTCAGATTTCTCATATAATTTAGATTTTTTCTAAAAATTTTCAACCATTTTAAAAAATCTAAACCAATACTAAAAATATGATTATAAGAACATATAAACCATGTTAAATATTTAATTTACAATCTATTAACAATCAATCTTAATCTTAACATAAAAATTTCATTCTTTTGAAGAAATATGAAGTATTATATTCGTTTCAACAATTAAATTTAATATATATATATACAAATGTTAAAAAAAAAACTTTATTGTATTTAATACATTTTATAAATTAATACTTAGATTAAGTATTATATATATTTGAAAATCTATTAAAATTGTTTCAACTACTAAGAATAATATTTCATTAAAAAATTAATATCAAAATTATCATGTTTTCTATAAATTAATAATTTTCTTTAATTAATAAGTATTTTCTATAGATATTGTAATTGAAATGAAACTAAAAAGGAAGTTCAATTCTTATAAGAATAATAATAATAATAAATACTATAATTTATACAATAAATATTTTAACAATTAATTAGACCATATATACGAATATTATTTATTTTATTTAAATTCTAATTAATATATGAACGAGTCTTAAAGTAAAATATCTCGAAATACTTCATCTTCACATTTTAGTCTTCCTAAAATATAGAAAATATCAACAGCACCTAAATATCTTGAAGTTAAAGGTTATAAAAATTATAAGTACAAGAGTTATATGATGGATTTGATGAAATCAGATAAGAAGTTATAGAAATTGTTACCCTTTCATCTACAAAATTTGACTAAAACTCCAAGAAAGAGGTATGAACTAAATGATTCTACTAAATAAGAATTGCTTCATTTTAGCAAATTAGATAATATATTTACAGAAGGAGATTTAGAAATAATGAAACAAGCTACAGTTACTTAAGGAGCAATGAATATTTAAGCTATGTACAAGAAAACTTTAAAGTCATACGAATAGGATTCTTTAAATACTAGAAGAGCTGATGAAAGTCAATTATGCGATGAAATAACTATGAATAATAGTATAATAAGTAATATTATTGAACATCAAAAATAATTGACTATTAATCCAAGAGTAATCAGATAAGCAAAGAAAGAAATATATAAAGAAATGAATACTATCAAAGAATTCAAGGTGCTAGTAAAAAATACATAATAATATAATGATATTTATGATATTAAAGAATCAGGAAAAAGTAAAATATATTAATAATGTCATAGATCCTTTTATATATCAATTTATTTTAAGAGAATCCTATTTAAGTTTTACTGAATTATCAAGAGTAATATAGGATAGAATTTTATTGGCTTTTGATATAAATCCTCATAATGAATAAGAAAAAGTGTACTATAATTAATTTAGATTATTTAAATAGATAATTATAAGTTAACATTTTAAAGAAGAAACCTTAATTAACTTTTTTATTAAAGTATAATATTAGAATATATAAGTTCTTTAATCCTTAAGATCTTCCTGCAATAACAATGTAAGATTTTAGATCAATTTTAATTGTAATTTTAGAAAATTCTGAAAATATGGATTAATTGGTAAAATACATTTTAAAAAATATACAATTATCATAATATGTAGAAGATAATTAGATAAAAGACTTATTTGGTATATTTAAGTCTAAAATACTAGACCCTATTAATTTGATCTATTTATTATTAAACAATAATTGATAATAAAATTAATATATATCTATTAATTTCATAAATCAAATATTTCTGTGCCATTCCAAATTGGAAGTAAATCAGAATTTAATAATAATCTAATATTATCTTAATAAATGATTCCTAAATTAAAATTTTCTTATGAAGTATTAAATTATAAAAGTGTATCTTTTTCTTCACTACTTTTTTTTTTGGATAAGATTCTTGGTGCAAATTTTTAACAATTACCTATAACAGTTATATAATGACCACAACCATCATTTTATAACAATACTTCAAATCCTCTTGGAAGGGTCTGATATTATGATAATTTGATTGGATTTTCATTTGGATAATAAATTACATCGTCAAATCCATTATTTAAAGAGATCCATATTTATTTTTCAATCAATAAAATTGGTTTAATCTAATTTTTATCTTCTCTAAACTAAAAAGGAGTGAAATGCTCATTAACAATTTTCTCTTTATTATTGCCATTTCCAGTACCATTTACAAATATTTAGAAAGTTTTTGTCAATTAAATTACCATACCTGTTTATAAGTATATTCTTTATTCAAATATTGGTTATTCATCCAGAGTTGGTCTAAAAAATAAATAAATTGAATACTTGTTTGTTATTTGATAACTTAATTAATCATCTGAACTCCATAAGGTTATTTTTTAACTTTTATTATCAAAAGTGAATTTTAAAAGATCTGATTCTAAATTACCATTATTTATCAAATCTTCTAATTTTTTAACTTTACTAGTAAATCCTTTTAATTTCATTTCAATTTTAAACAGTCTTTAATTTTATACTTCTGGAGATACATATGTAACACAACCAACACAATCTTCTTCTTCAATATTCTCTTTTTATAATTATTCATCAAGTTATAATTTAATTTAAAATGTAACAAGTTAGTGCGAGTACAATTCAGCACAACTTTATTTAATAAATGTACTTAAAGTCAATACTTTTTACTTTAATTGATATTCAATAATATTCGGCACATTTTTGATTAATTCCATAAATTGATCTTGTTATTAATAAATTTTAAAGGAGACATATTTCCAAACTTATTTAAGATTACCTGGATTATCAGTAAATTATTATAACTTTTATAGTTTTTGAAGAAAGACTTCTTTAATCTTTAAATCCTCTTCTTATTAATCTAATTCTTCCAATTTTTTTTATATATTTTCTTTCATTCCCCCTAAAGCTTTTATTATTCTTTCATTTTAACTTTCTTAGATATGCTTAAAGATAGTATCAACAGTTGAGAAAGCTTCTTATTTAAAATTCATATATTTTGTAAATATTATTATTAATAGAATGTTTATGTTTAATATTCACATTAATAATACTAAAAAATTATATGTATATATTTTTCTATATAATTATAGAGTTTATTATATGTATATATATATAGTGAATTCTATTATTCTGTTTAAAAATTATATATAATTATGAATATATTATTTTGATCAAATGTTATATATATTATAAAACTATGTATTCTTACATTTTTTGTAATTATTTTCAAGGAAGTATTACAATTCAAGTAAATTTAGAATGAGCAATCTAAATATTAGATGTAATAGATCTACTTTATTTGTATTGATTTATATTTGTATTTTTTGACTTAATTTAATATTAAATCTCATTGATAATAAATGAATAGCTAACAGAGAGCTAAAATCTATGTGCTATAAGGTTAATGGGAGGAATTTTGTATAGGGTATGTTTACATTGTGCATACAGATGGGGTGAATCCTTCTTTTATTAGATGCATTTTGGAAACATAAATAAAATAATTTAGCAATTTAGTATAATATGTTCATTTGAATACAAATAAGGAAGAATGGTGTCTCAATTTAAAGGTGTAGCCAGAAACTATATATGAATTTTAGGGAGAAAATATAATTTAATGGTAGGAAAGTGAAATCAATTTAGATATAGCAATTAGTTTTATTGATTCTAGGTATGCATCAGAATTTTGGAATTAATTATAAAATAGTAGAAGACATTTCCGTTTTGATGATGTTGAATCGACATATCCAATTATACCATCCCATTAAAATTTAGAAGCCATTTTATCATAGATAAGTGACAGTCCAGAATTAATTATTTAGAAAATAACTAATGATTCTACAAATTAATTTATGGAAGCAATCAAGAGAATTTTTGAAGATGCAGAAACATAATCTAATTATCATGTACTTGAACAATTACATTATGTGATCAGAAGTCTAAGTATATAAATTATTGAATATTGTATAGTCTATATTAAAAATGAAAATGTAATGAAATGTTTATTAAATGATAAATATTATGAGACATTATTTGGCATTATGGAATGTAATTTAATTAATTATTCTTAAGATCATTCTGAAAATAAAGGACCTTAAAGAGTATCTTATAGACAATTCTTAAAAAATTAATTGAAGTTTCATAGAATAACTGAGTTTGAAGATTCAATAATAGAGAAGATTCATTTTAATTATAGATTGTCATATTTGAAAGAAAGCGTTATGGCTTATTATCTTTATATTGAAGATCCACTTTATAATGAGTTCAATTTTTATATCCATGAAAATAATTAGAAAATATTGGAAACCTTATTAATCTATCATAAAAATCAATTCGAAAACTTTTTAGAGAAATTCATGGATGATTTTGAAGTGAAGTGTAAATTTATTAATGAATTTTTCTTATAATTCAAAGCATTTTTAACTATTAAATCATTGAATGATGCTTTTGTTGATTGTATAACACAATCTAATTTACTTAAAATTTTGTATTAAAATTCTTTACTAAAAGTTAAATAAATATTATCATCACCAGTTTGTTTTACAACCTTACAAGTAACAATTATGATAGCAAATTCTAATTCAATATATTTATAGGATTTCTTGAAAAATAATCATGATTTATTTTGGTAATGTATGGAAGCACTATTATTTTGTTAAGTAAATGGTCTAAACAGCATAATACTTGATATTGTTCAAATGATTTGTTCAAATTCTACAATATAAAGTCAATGCATAGAATGGCTAAGTAGATGTTTATAATAACCATTGAATTTTTCAGCTGCTCTTGTATTATAAGAACTTGTATAATGGATTTGTTAATAATAAAAGTCAATATCACAAGATCTTATTGTTCTATCAAATTACATTTTAAATATATTAAATCAATAATCAAGGGAGTAGAGAAAGGATAAGTTTTTATTGATGTCTGCATTGAAACATTTCAAGTATATTAGTACTACAGGTATATCAGAAATTTTAAAACCTTTTTGTAACTCTTTAGTGTTATTGGCTGTTAGTAAAAGAATAGATGGAATTTTGGAAGGCTAAATAAGAGACATATTGAAATGCATTAAACTTAAAAATAGTTTAAGTTAGCATTTAGTAATATATAACATAAATATTATATAGATTTTGATTGTTAAGACTTTAAATTTATCTGATCATCCTTTTTTCATTCGTCTAATGGATCAATGTTAAATTGATTAGATTATGGTGATGGATGATTAAAGATATTATGAATTGGAAGATTCAAATGAAAATTAACAAGGAATTTTGGAAAAGGATGATATTGGATTGGATTTCAGTAGGATAGTAAGGAAAAAGAATGAGGAGGATGAAGAAGATGATGAGACACATGTGAGAGATTAAAAACCAAGGGGGATAATTTTTGGTGATAATTGCTTTAAAAGAATAAAACCTGATGATGATTGATTTTATTTATTTACTAAAATGTTGCCCCAAACATAATAAAACCTTATTCCAAAAAAGAAGATTGAACATTATACATATTTAATGCATGAGTAGATTGGACGAGGATACAGTTCTAAGGTGTATAAAGGGAAGGATGAGAACACAGGTGAAGTTGTTGCTGTAAAAGTAATTGATGTGAAAGCAATCAGCAATGAAATTGAGAGATAGTTGATCAATTAAGAGATTAATGCACTTAAATTAATATAGTCAGTCAATGTTATCAAATTGCATGATTATTATCACACTAACAATAATACATACATAATCACTGAATATTGTAATTAAGGAGATTTAGGCAAACTAATTTAATAGTAGGGTATAATACCTGAAGTTGAGGCTTTTAAAATATTGAGACATATAATCAATGGATTCAAAGAGTAAATTAGGAAAGGTGTCATTCATAGAGATATCAAACCAACAAATATCTTAATAAAGAATTCAGTTCCAAAATTAGCTGATTATGGTTTCTCTAAAATGATTAAAGCTCCAAAAGAGAAAGTATTTTATAAGGTTGGTACTCCTATTTATATGAGTCCTGAAAGTTATTTAGAGAATAAATATTCTGAGAAGAGTGATATTTGGAGTATTGGAGTTGTATATTATTAAATGCTTTATGGTTAATGTCCATGGGTTATTAATTCGGAGAGTGAATTTTAAGAATCTGTATCATAATTGCATTTTAATCGAAATGTACCCATATCAGAAGAGTCAAAAGATTTCTTAAGGAGAGCTTTATAGGTTGATGAAAATTAAAGGTTGTCTCTAAGTGATATTGATCAACATCCACTCTTCTTGCGTCGTAATACTACTGCTTTGAATAAAATGAGAGGAGCTTTAGTCAGTAATTCATTTAATAAATCAATTACAAATATGAATGTTGTTAGAGTTAATCAAACTCAATAATGTACAAGAAGTGGCTCTACTTCACATAAGCATTAAAAATCTAATCAAATTAAAGAGAAGATAGGAACTATTATTTAACATACATATTAAAGCTTTCATTATGGTATGATTTAGATTTATTTTTTACATAGAATCTTAAGCTGAAGAGGTTATTTGTAATTTCCTTAATTAATGTAAATTTATCTATCGTACTTGTCAATTAATTGATCATGTAAAATATTTACAATCTCCAAGATTGAGAGAGAGGATTATGGGATATTTTGGAAAGGAAGTGATGGACATTATGAATAAAGTATGTGTAATATTTATTACAAGCTAAAAGAAGCATATGAAAAAGGAGTAAATAATATTAAAGTAATCAATTTCAATCATTAATTTGTGATTTCCATATTAAATAAATATTCATTTAGAGAAGTCTATTTGAAATATAAAGAATATTATGGAATGTCTTTGTTGGGTGATATATCTTCTTTAAAGGATATTATTAGAGAATTAAATCATTAACTTAGAATAAATGAATAAAATGAAACTGGTATTTTATTATTGGATTATCTAACCTATTATTATTAAGTAATAATAAATAATAATACTTAATAATTTTTGGATGGTAAACCAATCAATGAAATTACACCTAGTCATTATTAAGAAATTAGAGTGAAAATATATAATTTAGAAATATGATTATATATATATATATATTAATTTCTATCTATCTACTTTCTATTTTTATGTTAATTTTCTATATTTGAAATCATATTCAAATATATATCATTAGAATATTATATATAATATGGTTTTATTTAATAAAATAACGAATGAAATTAGACAACGATTTTTTGAAAATCCAAACTTATACAAACTAACTATTTGATTCACTTCCAGTTATAAAAGAATATAAAAATGATAAAGATCTTATTACTCAACTATAATACTCATGTGTATGTTATGGTAGAAAATTAGTTTCATTATTTGATAAATATACAATACTCTAAAAGAAATAGCAAGAAGGTTCAAATTAATTACTCATTAATTTGGCATCTCTATTAAATGTAACACCAAATGAGTAAACTATCATTAATACACTTAAATAATAAAGCAAAGTTAATGAGTAATTGCAATCTAAAATTGAATATCTAAAATAATCTTAATAAGATGTTGTCTATTAAAAAATGTTACAACATGAATAAAAATTAACTCAAGAATTATAAGAGGTAGCTGATCGTCTCATAAAAGAATTGAAATAATCTAAAGATGATAAATAAATTTTGTTAGATGAATTATAAATGAAAGAGGAACAATTGAAATAATATTAATATCAATAACAAATACAATAGTCATCACTATTAAAGTCTCCAACTAAATAATAATATAATAGTGCTCATAAATATTCAAGTGCTACTAAATATTCCAGTTCTAATAATAAATAACCTCGTTTCCAATAGTAATTAATTAATACACTTCAAGCTTTATCTTAATAAACAAGGACATTTCTATCATAATATGTTAATTAATAAGAATCAACATATGATTATGATTAATTAATGACTGAAGATGCCCAAATGTTATCATTAAATATTTCAAACATAATACGAGATATAACTCAACTCATATAACACAAAGAAGAGATTGTTGAAAATTTAATTAAAGGACTTGAGATATAATTGGAGTAAGTGAGATTGGAATAATAATAAAGTGAATTACAATAAACTGATAATAAATAATTGTAATATTAATTACAATAATTATAAAATATTGTTAAAAAAGCAAAAGATACAAGAACTAAAGAATTGGATAGAGCATTTAATTCTGAAATACCAGTATTTATAGTACCTGATGATTTGATGGATTCTGAATTATAATTAACTATTGAAAGACATAATTCTAAAGTTTAATAAAGATTGAATGATTTGGCAATTTAATTAAAAAAGAAATCAACATAATTTGAATAAATATAATCATAGAGCACTAAAATTAAAATTATTTTAGAAGAAGGCTTAAATAGATTAAGTATTATATTAAATGAACTATAAAATATGGCTGATTCAAAGGAAGCATTAAAATTATTGAAATTTTGTAAAAATGAAATTGATTCAATATAAATAAATTTGAATGGAATTGATATAGAATAATAAGTGTCTATTGATATAAAGTAATAGAGATAGAATTAATTGTAATAATTGGAATAATTAAAGAAATTCTATTCAGAATAAACAGAAAGATTAATTTAAGAAAATGAAGAATTAAATGAGAAATTGACAAAAGTTTAATAATTGACATAAGGATTACATAATGATAATGAGTAATTGATGCGTAAATTAAAATTAGCATAATAAGAATAAATGTAATAAAAAGAGGAGAAAGATAATTTAATATAAGAATTGGAATTAACTATCACTTAATAAGAATAGAATATAAAATTATTTGAATAATAAGATAAAAAATAGAGATAAACAATGGAATAAATAGAAAAAGAATTAGAAAATAAAAAAAGAGAATATTTAAATTTATAATAATCAAAATAATTGGAATAATAGGATATAATAGAGAAATTAAATGATAAGAATTCTGTATTGGAATTTGAAAATAAAACATATAAATAATAATTGGAAGTTATAGAAAAAGATTTTTAGAAACTAAAATCTTAACGTTAAACTTAAGAATAATTATGTGAATAAGATAAATAGAATTTGAAAAAATAATTAGATGAAAAGAAAAAATAATTATTATAATTATAAACAGAGAATAAAAAAACACATGAAGAGGCTGTAGCTTAAATAGAAGAATTATAAGATGAATTATCACATTTATCAAGTTAATTATAATTAAGAGAGACTGAAATTAAATAATTACATAAGACTTTGAGTGAATTAGAAGATTTTTCAAGAAAATAAATTGATGTTATTAGAACATATGAAGATAAATTAACTGAGGTTCATCAAATAAAAAAACAATTAGAAAATAATAATGAAGGAAATGATTAAATGTTGTCTCAATTATAACATAAATATTAATAATTATAACAATCATATAATTAATCTAAACATGAAAATGATAAGTAAATTATTGTTATAAGTATTTTAGATTATTAAATGATTTAAGTGTATTATAGAAATAATATACAAAATAAACTGAAATAATGGAGTAGGAATTTAAGGATAAGTTAAATAAATAATCAGAGATTAATAAAATTTTAAAGGAAGAAGCAAGAAATTTAAAAGCTTAATTGGAATTAAAGATTAATTAATTAAGATAATTGGAATAAGATTTGTAGGATAAAAATAATGATTTGGAGTATATTAATTTAATATTATTAGTAAAGCATAAAAAATATGTAAACAATTGAATATGTAAGTAAGTGAATTCAGATAGAAAATCGAATATTTTGAAGAGTTTAAATAAGAAGTACATGTATTTTAAAACAAAAATAGAATTTAGAGACTTCAGAATAATATGCAAAGTAATTATAAATGTTGCAGAATGAAAACTTCTAGTTTAGAAAAGAATTAGAGAGATAACAATAATAGAATACCTAACGTTAGAAGACAAATAATATTTAAGATTAATAGATGAAAGAGGAAATAAATAATCTTAAATAAGAAGTGAGAAAAATGGAATAATTATTAAATTAAGAAAGATAGAATTATGAATAAGAAATTAGAAAATATTAATATTAGATAGATGAATATACAAAATTAGATTTATCAATGAGATAAAAGTCAGCATAATCTGGTGGAAGTGCTTTTTATGAAAATTTGATAGAAGCAAAAGATTTAGAAATTGCTAGATTGACAAATATAGTGAAATCTTTAACAGATCTAAGAAAATGATTATAATTTAAATAATAACACTGATTTTAATTATAATTAATATTAAATAATAATCTATTTTTTCATTAAGAAATTCAGCAATATTAATTTTATAGTAAGTATATTAATCTATATAATTCTTATCTAATAATAAATATGGGATTAAGAAAATGGAAATAAACATATTAAATAAATTAATTAGATTGATCACTCAATCATAGAATTATGTTTGTCATTTTTAATCAGTTTACACAGATTGATTAAGAATATGAGAGTATAATCTTTAAGAATATAATAATTAATTGATGAATTTATAATAGCTAATACAAACTATTTGTTTTTCTTCATAATTATTTCCAATTAAGCGTTTAATCAGAATTTTATTTTTTTATTATTCTCCGAACTTTAGGGATTGCTAGTCTATTGCAGATCTTTAGCAATCTAAACAGACTATTATATCCATTCATTCAACCAAGGAAATCTTTTATAATTTAAGACATCCTAAATGTAATGAATGAATAATTACATCAATTTAGTCATTTTATATTGATTCCACAATAAAATTCACATATTTTTAAATTTTATGTTTATTTTCTTCAAGTGCTAATTATAGGTATTGACCTAGATTATATAGAGAATAAAATTGTTACTTAAAAAGTTTGAGTAATGTTACTGATATTGAGTTGATAGAAATAATTGCTAGACGAATGCATTATTCATTTTCTTAATTTATTGTTTCTAAATGGTACTAGTGGATTTCTAAAACTTCACACTTTTGCGAATAATGAATTTAATCATTTCTTCTTTTGTTTTTTCAGCCTATTTTGTTGATATGTAAATTTACTTATAAATATCTGGTAAATATAAGGAAATAGATTCTTTTAAGTGCTTTCCTTTGTGTACATAATCGAATGGTTTTTCGATAGGCAAAGATTTATTCTTTTGGAAGGTAATTGAGATTTTTCATCATATAGTCAATCATTTTAAATACTTCATCTTTTAGTTATTCTGCATTCAAAGAAAGAACGTCTGAGACTTGATTATGTTGTAATTGTTTTCTCAAAAAGTGATTTTCCTCTGTTAAATGATGAATAGCAAATTTATAATTCTCTATTTCGTTTGGAATTGGAGTATAGTTTATGGGTATGATATAATGTGGGATAAAAAATTGGTTTTCTTCCTAAGGTTTATATTATATTTATTAGTTTACTTATTTGATAACATTGTCTTCTTCCTTCATTATTTATATAAAGTTTGAGTACTCTAAAAGCAAGTTAGAGATAAAATTAATTAAAGATATTATTGAATAAGCATAAATACTTATATGTTACAATCATGTATTACACATTATCCTTTATGTATATTAATTAAATAAAATAATCATGCCCAAATGGCAAATCATCAAGATGGCTTTTTTTAAACATCTAAAAACTTTAAAGTGGGATTAATATTAACAATGGAGATGGCATAATCACTTTTAATGGGCTGATAATACTTTTAGACCAATATTAATACTCTAATTCATATTTATTATCATTAGATTGTCCATTATGGCAGATAACTTGTATATTTAAATTACTTTGGCAATACAAATATGTATACATATTCTCTTATTTTTATCCATTTCAAAAGCAATTTCTCAAGAATCACATTTCTTTATATAATTATTGCCTCTAATACAACAATACTGTATGTATTGGATTTGCTACATAATCAAAGAAAAAGATTATTTTATGCTCTATGTTACATTAATTAGTATCTATCAGAGCATGTATTCTACTTTAAGCATGAAATTTTTAACAATTTCATTGTTCTTAATCCAGAGCATCTTACTTGCTGACTTACCCTCATTTGAAGGATTGTTCCTTTCAATAGTCCTTCTAATCTTATAAATTTTGAGAAAGGAATTCCTTTATTTACAACATTTTTAAAATCTTTAAGCATTATTTATGATTATTGATTCTACTCCTTAAGCTATATGTATAGTTCATAAAGATAAGAATTTCTTACTTTATTCTAATAAGATTTTTGATAATTTAGCTAACAAATTAGAAAGTACAAATTAAGCTGAAACAGATTAATCACCTGAAAAAACATCTACAATACATTCAGCTAGAAATCAATTAAGTTTTTTATAGAATTTATAATTGGATGAATTAAATAATGATTAAACTCTATTTGATTTTGATGATGATGATCTTGAAATAGAGGATCAATATAAAATAAAGAATGTTACTTATTGTAAAGAAAAAACTCAATTATTATCTTAAAATCGATTTTCTGTAGAAATTTAATAATCACCCCCTAAAAATCATTAATAATAATAGAAGTTTTTCTAATCATTTAAGAATTAAGAAGATGATAGTATAATCAAAAAGAAATTCACATCAGATGTTACAATGAAAATAGAATTTAACAATTCTCCTTAAATGATGATTCATTCAGCTGGTAAAAAGAGTTCTCGTAAAAGATCATAAAATCATATTAGATTAAATAAATCTGCTCTATATATGACACCAAGTCGTAAAATCTCTGCTGATTAACTATTATCAAAAGAAAGCAAAGAATATCCAAGTTCTAATCATAAGTAATCTCAAGATTATAATATTATTACACCTAAATCTAAACCAACTATCAATCATAAAATGAAATTTCTTGTTAATGTATTAGAGAATTGTAGATTATTTGATAATGATGATGGATTATAAATCTATTTCATTAATGAAATCAATTAAATTCTTTTAAGAGCCAAACTCAAAAAATTAGAATCAATTAAAAAGAATATTCTAAGATCAATATCTCATGAATTACTAACTAATTTAAATGCTATATTTGGATTTATCAAATAATGTTAAGACAAATAATCATCTTAAGAGTCTTGTTCATAATAATTAGAATAAGCTTTATGTTATACAAAACTCTAATTGTATAAAATATATGATTTTTTTGATTACAGAGATATTTTAGAAGAGAAATTAATTATCAAATCAGATAAGTTTGATATTAATTCAGTCATATGGGAATGTGTTGATTTATTAAAGGATTAAATTGAAAGAAAATTACTCTCAATAAATGTGGAATTACCAGAGGTTTCTTATATAATAATTGGAGATCGTTAAAGGTTGTGTTAAGTATTACTAAATTTAATTGGGAATGCTATTCGATTTACATTAAAAGGTGGAATTACAATAAGAGTGTCTAATAAATAATATATAGATTCTATGTAAGGAATAGATGATGTACAATCATTTAATTGTTAAGATACAAATTTATTATAAGTTTCTATAAGTGATACAGGAATAGGGATGAGTGAAAATGAATTATGTAATTTAAGAAAGAAGGTATTAATATTTATAATATGTTTAGTTACACTTATCTGATGAAGATGAAAAAGTATCTAAATAGTCAGTTGGAATTAGTTTGGGATTATCAGTTTGTAAATAAATTATAAAACATTTGGCACCAAACAATTAAAATTATCTGTCAGTTGAATCTACTTTAGGTGAAGGTACTTAATTTTATTTCGTATTATAATATGATGAAGAGTAAGTTTAATAAGAATAAAGTAATTTATAAAATTCATTTATTCATACAATTCCATTTATAGAATAACAAAGTACTCAATAAGTTAGAGTTTTGAGTTATAATAGATGTAGTAAATCTTAGTTAGGAGATTAGATAGGAAATATAGAAACAAATATTTGTAATTGCAAAAAGACATTAATTGTAGATGATGAATAATTTAATATTCACATTCTTTCTCATCTTATGAAACAATAAGGTTATGATGTTGATTATGCATTTAATGGCAAATAAGCTATAGAAAAAATAGAAATTTAATTGGCTAATAGATGTAATACATCAACTTGTATTGGATATAAGTGTATTTTAATGGATATATGTATGCCAATTATGAGTGGTTGGGAAGCTGTTCAAAGGATAAGATAAATGGAATATAAAATTAAATTAACTAAAACCATACCTGTCATTGCAGTTACTGCTTTTTGTAGTATCCAAGATTAATAGAAAAGCATTCAAGAGGGTTTTAATTGTGTGTTAATTAAACCAATTACAAAGGAAAAACTTCGTGATACTTTTCATCGTCTTAATATTTGATAATATTTATTTGTTCTATTTACTATTTTTTTAAATTGTCTTTCATCAGAATTATTAATAAAATATTTCAATAGTTTTTTTTTTGACAATTAATATTAAGATTATGTCATCCTTAGCCAAAAAAGCATAAGATCCATATGAATAATTAATTAAAATACTATTATTAGGCAATTCTGGAGTTGGTAAAACATAAATTCTTCTCAGATATTCTGAAAACAATTTTAGAACAGGATATATGTGTACAATTGGTAATTAAAGTTTATTATTTTTTAATAGGAGTAGATTTCAAAATTAAGAAATTATAGGTTGATGAAAAAGTAGTTAAGATGTAAATATGGGATACTGCAGGATAAGAGAGATATTAGACACTTACTCAAAATTTTTATAAAGGAGCTATGGGAATTTTACTTGTTTTTGCACTTAATAATAAAGATTCACTTAAGGATATTGATAAATGGATGAATTAAATTAAATAGCATACTAATGAAAATATCATTAAAGTATTAATAGGTATTCATCATTATATAAATTATAGGAAACAAAGCAGATATTAAAGAGAGATGTATTTCAAATGAGGAGGCTCAGTCTTTGGCTACAAAGTATGGCATTCCTTATTTTGAAACTAGTGCTAAGGATGGTACTAATATTAATGAAGTATTTTTGCAAGTTGCCAAATTAATTAAAAATTAACACTAAGATTAATAATTAAATGGTAATCCTAATAAACTCCTTTAAATTCATTAAGAAGAAAAAAAATTGGATTCCTCTTGTTGTTGATATTTGTATCTATAAAACTCCTAATTTTTATAATTAATAAATATTTATGAATTCATTAATGTTCTAAATTTCTTAAGCAATTTAGATTAATCTTTGATTAGACCTATAAATTTTATATAAAAAAAATGTTGTGTAGCAATAATATAACTTCAATTTCTGTGTTTATGTAAATAAAGTTAATATTGTTACTTATCCTTCATATTTAAAAGACTATCTCCAATTTTGGATAATTGGTCATATAATTATGGATTCAATCTCTTAAATTGTAAAAAATTATGTTATTATAATTAGTTACTATACATATTTGTAATCAGATTGGTGAAAATAAATTATTTCATTTTCAATTAATATTTAGCTAATAAGATTGATCAAATTAAGAATTATGTTCTTGATTAATTAATTTATGAGATTTTAGAGTCCAAAAATCATATAATTAATGTTGCCATATTATTATAAATGTTATAAGTAAGTATAAAAAGAAGAAAGTAGAGGAGAAAAGGATGAATAAATTAAAATTATTAATATATTCACAAAAAATGAGATATTGCAAAGTCTTAGACTCTAAAGATTAAAACATAGATTGTTTAAATAATTTACATATTTAATAAGATATTTAAAAAATATTTAATCATAGTATATTTTTTTTGTCCATTTGAAACAGAGAAGTGTTGATCTTTTTGTAACATATTAAATAAATGGGTTTAGTTCTATTGATTAATTTTATTCAAATAATATTAAATATAAAAGATAATAGTTATAGTAAATACATTTATGAGTGATACAAAAATAAAGATAGAGAGTGCTGTTAACTATTCAAATTTTCAGAATTTTTGTGGTGTGAATAATTATAATATAGAATTATACTTGCTTTTACTTTCATTCAGTAATCTAGCTTTTTATATATTTAATCATACTTATTCAATATTTATGCTTGTCAAATTCATATTAACATCAACTCTAGCAATAATAATATTTGCTTTATAAAAAAGAGTTGATCCAATGGTTACAAGATTTATAAAATTAGTTTGTGAAATAGTATCAATCACTTAATTAATATCATATGACGAATGGAGTAGTCTAGCCATACTTTCATTAATTTTCGATAAGGGAATTTTAACATAAAGACATGAAAATTATCATTATTTATTTGATTATCTCATACTTAAGGTTTTAAGTTTAATTTTTATTTCACTTTATTGGAGCAATTAGGTTTTTATCATAATTATATGTAATACTATTGTACTTGAGAGTTATTAAATTATTCTCCTATATACTAAAAATAGGCAAAGATAAAAATATAAATTAGGAGGTAAATTAAAAAGAAAATCTGTTGAGAGTTAGAAAATAATAAGTGATAATAAAATATAAGGAGAAAATTAAATCTAAAATGATATTATAATTAATAATCATGGTGATATTATTATAGATAATTTAATTAATAATGAAGATCTTTGGATTAAAAGAATGCATGCTATACCAATCTCAATTATAATACTTAATAAAAAATCTTTGGCTATTAAATTTAAAAATGAAACAGCCAAAAAAAATTTTAATACTTTATGTTATAATGATAATGAAATTAATGATTTAATAATGAATAAATTGGAATTCACAATTTTAGAAGATAGTTTAGAAATGTTAAAAAATTCAAGTAATAATATAGTAAGAAAACAATTTTTTAATAAACCTGTTAATTAATCATGTTCAAGTTAATTTGATATTGAAAATCTAAAAAAATAAACACTTTAACAAATTTCATTAAATTTTATTGGAGGATCTTATTAAAATATTATGAAACCTTTTACAAATTCTATTGATTTATATTGTCATCAAGTTTTAGATTCTTAATAATTTTAGATTAATGGAACAATATTCTCAAGTAATGAAGATGATGAATTAACAATCATTTTATCAGATATATCTAAATAAATGTAATTGTAATAATTCATTGTAAAAGATGAATTTTAAAAGAAAGTAAATTATAATTTATATTTTAGGTTATAGAATCACTCTCTCATGAACTTAAGACACCTTTAAATAGTTCAATAAATTTTATTAAATCTGCAATAGCCAATGAATAATTACCCTTATCTATTAAGAAATAATGTTTGGAACCTGCATCAATCGCTTTATAATTATAATCATATATAATCAATGATGTTATAGACTTTTCATAATTCTATAATAATAGTTTAGATGTTTGTGTAAAAGAATTTGAGATCAAAGATGTTATTAGCGAAATTACAAGCATTTTTAATTTATAATTCTAATAAAAAGGTTTAAATTTTGTAATAGATCTAACTAAAAATACATAAACTTATATGTCTACTGATTATAATCGATTAATGTAAATCTTAGTAAATGTTATTTAAAATTCCTTAAAATATACATATACAGGTGGTGCAATTCTTAAAATTAAAAATTTAGAAGATGATTCAATTTAATTTTCTGTTTCTGATACAGGTATAGGAATTAAATAAGAAATTACAAAGAAATTGAATACCTATGTTAATTAAGTTGATAATTTGAGATATTTTTCAAAATTGAAATCTTGGAATGGAATAGGATTATTGATTTCAAGTATTTTATTACATTAATTAAATCCATCATTATCAGAAACTTTTCAAATCAAATCAAAATTATAAAAAGGAACTAAATTCAAATTTAAAATAAGATAAGTTTTAATTGATGAAATTAACAATAACATTGATGATTTAACAAAAAAAAAATCTGTAAAATTTAGAAGAAATTCACGATAAAATTAATAAAATAATCTTGTTGGAACAGTTATATATGTTAATGAACATGCTTTAGTTTCTTAAAATCTTGGATTATATAGTACACAAAAAAGTACTTTACATAAATTACTTAAAGGAACTTCTGAAAATGATCAAGATTCTATAGAATCTGGGGATTAATTATAAAATCTATCCAATCAATACATATAATTAGAGAATTAACAACACAATTTCATACTTAATATTAAAGATAATAAAAAGTAGAGTGGATCTTTTGAGTAACTATCAATGAAATCATCATAAATGAAGTAAATCTTATTTTTTAAATTAGATCAAAAATATTAAGTTTTACATAATTGAAAATGATGGAAAGGTAAAGTAATGATTCTGCCTTACACAATTTTAAGAAGAAACTTAAATGTAAGTGTAGAAAAATAATGTCTGTGGATGATGAAATTTTTAATTAAAATTCTATCAAATTGTTAATAGAAAGATATGGTTTTGAAATGATCATTGTAAGAATGTATTCATAATTTAAGGCTTATAATGGTTAAGAGGCAATTACAAAAATATAACAATTATAAAAATGCTCAAAGGAATGTGAACTTTTGAATCTTATTTTAATGGATTATTCAATGCCAATCATGAATGGTATTGAATGTACTATTTAATTAAAGAGAATGATGAAAGAGAAAATAATCCCTTACATCAATATAATAGGATTAACTGCATTTACAAGTAAATTAGACATCGAAAGCTGTTTAAATGCTGGAATGTATGAAGTACTTTTTAAACCTTTAAAGCTCAATGATTTCTGTGAGCTACTAACATTATTATGATTATTCTTATTGTATATATATATATATATATAGATAGTATTTATAATCAAAGAGATGCTAATACATCTTTTAATTCCTAAATTTTTAAAGGTTTTGATAATACATCACTCATACCTGCTATTAAGCAATTTTTAATATCTTACTAACCTGTAAAGGCAGTTAAACCAATTATTGGGATTTCAGGGATAATACCATCTGACATGAGTTTTTTTAATTCTTTAGTTGTAGCAATACCATCTTTTCTTGGCATCTAATAATCCATTAAAATGATTGTTAAAATATTACAACCTAAACTACAAGGTTTTAGATTCAATATTAAATTGATTGCTTCATCTCCACTAAATGCTAATTTTACATCAAATCCAATTTATTAAAGAAGTCTTTCAACTGATTTTTAATTAAATATTTCATCATCCACAGATAATATGATATTGCAATTACATTTATTTTTTTTGATTGCCAATGTCTTGAAGATATCTTCCCTATATTATGTTTCCATCTTTCTAAATTAATTTAAATTGACTAATTATGATTTTTATGATTTATAAGATTAAAATAAAGGATTTTTATTTTTTATTGAAATCTTTTAACTTGATTTAATATCTGTAATTAAAACAGGTTAAATTTAGATTAATTAAGAGATATTAGCATCAGGTGAACAAAATTATATTTTTGGACTCTTAGACAATTCCGAAAAATCATCTAAAGTATTTGAAACAGAATTCATAATTCTCTCACTCTTTTTCATGTGTTAATTTACTTATTAAATATCTTATGCTAAATATATTGTTCCATTCATAGGTAATATTTAACTAAGAGAATTTGATTATAAAGATTTCTTAACACTTTAGGATTGTCTAAGTGTATTTTTTGCACTAAATGATTATTTAATTGTATTTTATTTCGAACTGTAATTGAAATTTAAAATATAAAATTTAATTTTAGTCCCCTTATTAAATACAGTTGATTCAATTTGAATAGACCTTAATGTTGGAGGACATAAACTTTAATGCAACAATGCAAAAATTAATAATCCAAATCCTTTCCAAGCTTTAAAAGTTTAAAAATCTTTACTTTCTTCAACATATTTTAAAGTTATCCTAACTTATTCTAAAACATTAGGAGCTATGCCTATACCTGAATCTTAAATTACTATTTTCACTATATCATTTGATACACTACTAAATTTAAGTTTTATTACTCCACTAGAAGTATATTTGAGTGAATTTTATAAAAGATTGACTAAAATTTAAGTTAATCTTGTTTGATCAGAACTAAAATATTATAATTAATTTTTTTGTAAATCTAAATTAAAAGTAATCTTTTTCATATCAAATTAAATACTAAATAATGATGTTAATTCACTTAAGAAATCTTAGACAGAAAATTCTGTAACATATAGTTCTAATTAATTTGCATTATAATTTTAATAATCAATGATATCATTAATTAAATAAGATTATAATTTTAATGAATTGACTGCAGGTTCAAGAGTTTGTAATTTTAATTTATCATCAATTGTATTATTAGATATTGATGCCTCTAAAAAATTAATAGCACTATTTAATGGTGTTCGTAATTCATGTGAAAATGATTCTATAATCTCAAATATATAAATTATTTATTTACTTTACTTTTAAATTCTTCTTTTACTATGAATTACTGAATTTCATTTTATTTTGTTGTATCATTAAGTGTTACAAAAAATTCATCATCTTTATCAGATAAAATAATTTTAGCCTCTAATTAATATTTAGCACCAGATATTTCTGTTTACTGACAAAATAATTCAATAACGTCTTTTTATAAATTATACATATCACTTTTTATTTATGTAAGAATTTCAATCAAAGTTCTTTTTTACATTAAATCATAGGAACTTAATTAAGTCATACAAGATTTCTAATGAAAAACATTTGATGAATAAGATTTTTTTTATTTTAATTTAATAATATTTTTAGAAGACAATTATACAAATTCTTAATGATCTGATAATAATGAGAAATATAATTTATTTAATATAAGATCCTCTAATTCTTCTTCATTAATAAAACTATCACAAAATTATTTGAATAATGTCTAATTTTTATATGTAATTTTTAATGTTTCCTTTGAAATTAATAAAATTGATAATGGTATTATGTAAAATCTTTTCTTCCATATATCTTCTCTTTATGTATTTTCTACTCTAACACTTTATGCTACTTATTCATAATCAATAGGTATTTTGTAATTAATTAATGATTAATTTACTTCTGTTTTCATAAAAATGATACGATTTCTATAGATTTCCAAAATCATTAAACATAAATTTATAGTTATCGCTAATGGCAATTTATAAAAAATACAAATTAAACTTACACCTATGATCTTTATTAATATTTGCTCTAGCACTTTTAATTTGATTGCAACTTTATTGTTAATAGTAATTTAATCATATGCAAATGGTATTATAGCAATCAAATAAACTTCATTGTTTAGGCATATAGTTGAAGTCTAAAATATTTTAATCAAACAAATCAAACATAATAATAAATTTTACTGCATTTTTTTTATGTAAACAAGGGATATAATAAAAATAAGAATAAATATAGTGATTCTTATTATGTTGAGAATTTTGGTCTCATTATTAAATATTAGTACTATAATTTCAACCAAAATAGCCATGATCATATACATATAATATTCCCAAATTATAGATAATTCATCCTAAATATTCATTTTTTTAATTGTTTTAGTTGTTTTCATTTCATCCACTCTCTCATTATTATTGAATCTAACTTTAATAGATGGTGTATCAATGGAATTATTTATTGATCTCATTTATTTTAAATATAAAATAAAATCAATATAAATAGGCAAAATCTGAATATTCCCAATTACATTTGTATACTAATTGTTTAAATATTCAAAGAAATTTATATTTGCTAAATATGATTAGATTTCTAATCGTAATTTTTCACTTTTAATCAATTATAACTCTGCAAATTTTGGAAATTGATGTAAGATAAAGTGTTATGAAATTCAATTTCACTCAAAAAAAGTTAAATTAGACATTTCAATTAATAATATAAAAAGAGGAAACATCCAAATATCTATTAATTGAACTATTTGTTAAAAATCAATCCAAATCATCTCCAAATTTGATGTTATTATAGTCCTATGGATAAGCTCCTTTCTATGATCTACACTCTCCAAAAAAAAGAATAATTTGTGATAACTATGATATAAATGGGTATATACATTATGAACTATTAAGTAGATAATAATAATCAAAAAAATATCACTATTTACAATTGAACTTAGATTAGAATAGAGATTTACAATTATATTTGACTATTCTAACCAATAAAACTAAGAATTATTACTTACAATTTACAGCATCAAATATCATATAATGTCCTAATAATTGCAATAAAAATGGATAATGCATTGTAAAATTCCTATTATATAAAATAAGCATGGTTAATGTTAATGTAAGAAAGGATTCTTAGATGAAGATTGCTCTCAAACAGCTTAACTATTTTTACCATTTAAAATGTAGAACATTTAGATATCAAATTAATAATATATATATACAATGTTCAATACAACTTCTAATTATAGTTTAAGTTTAGCTTTTGAATCAACAAACATTAATAAATCGAAAATAAATATACAAATGTTAGTTTCATAAAGATATAATCTACCATGTGATATTAACAATAATTATAATCATACTGTTTGGGATTAAAAAAGAGTAGAAATTAAACTATTATAAGAATCATATTTGGAGAGTAATTTTAGTTAATAATCTCATTAAAATTTATTGATCATCAAATTATCATCTGAAGAAGATATTAATTATAAAATATAATTAGATTTTTAAATACATTACAGATAAGATAAAGAAGAAATAGTAACAATTATATTAATTATTACTTTAACATTAATTCTAATATTTGCTTTATTTTTTATATTTTGGTATTGTTTTAGGAGATAAAAAAAGAATTCTTCAAATAACTAATAATTTATGATTCCAGCATTAGTTGATATTGATTTGAATCCTTAATGTTCAATTTGTTTAGAAGATTTTATAAAAACTGAAGAATAATTATAATAATAAGTTAAAACAGATTGTTTACATATATTTCATAAAGAATGCTTGAATCATTGGAGGAAAAATCGAAATACTTGTCCAATTTGTAGAAAATCATTCATATGATATACTTAATTTGTGAATATTATAAATACAATATATTAGGTTTATAAGGTTGAATCTTAAAATAACTATTTTGTTTTAGTATTTATTTTATTTACTATAATCAATATATAATGTGTATTATAATTAATTTATATTATTCACACAATGGCTACTCGTTCATTGGTTCCAACATTTATTATGAAAACATTTGAAATGCTAGAAGTATATGTCACATAAAGTATTAGGATCAAACAATATCTCATATTGTTTCTTGGACTGAAGAAGGATTAAGTTTTGTTGTGAAAAGCCAAAAGTTATTATAATAATAGGTTCTGCCATAATATTTTAAACATAGAAATTATTCTAGTTTTCTAAGGTAAACTTAAAGAATAATTTACTAGATAACTGAATTTATATAATTTTAAAAAGAGTAAACATTAAGATGGATAAGAGTTTAAACATAAATGTTTTAGAAAAGGAGTTAAGTAATATATATAAGTATATAATTAATAGATAGATGTTATAATTCATAAAGAGAAGAAATAATGATGATGGAAATTAGGAATCTGTTAATCCTAATCAACCATGTATTTCATATGATTATTATTTTGATTAGCTGCTAAATTGAAAGAAGAATAAAATATTTTAAGAGTGTGTGCATCTGATATTAAAGATACAAATACAAGATTAGATGAAGATATGCAAATATTAAAATAAAAGAGTGGTGTACTTTTAGAAGAAATGTGGAATCTTAAAAAGGTTAATACTCAATTATATAATAGTTATTACATAGTCAATTTGATTAAGTGAATCATAAATTGGAAAGAATAGATATAATTATAGGAGCAATGTCATAACATAAAAAATTCAAAAGTAATTAATAATTATAAATAATAATAGATATCTCTTAATATTTCACTACTAAATTTTTACAGAATGAACTTCATACTCTAGAAACAAACTTAAATTAACCACTCTTTGAATCACCAAAATAAGAAGTTGATGATTAGGAATAAATCAAAGCATTATTTGAAGAATTATAAAATCTTAGTAAACCAATTCAATTTGATTGAACATTTTGTTCAAATATATATATATTTTAACCTAAAATTATAATAAAATATTTTTATTGTTACTATTTAATGAAAGTTTTTCTAAAACATATATACAATGAATGATATTGTTCATTTACATAATATTTATATCATTTTAAATAACAAGTTAAATAATGAATTACTTATTTATATATTATATAATTGATTTATTTATATTAACTAGAATAATGTAAATAAATAAAACGTGGGTAGTAATTGCATGTTTATCATTTAATATAGGATCCATTTCATATGCATTTGTTTCAAATTCTATGAACAATGCTTTAAAAACTTTATATATAGTTTTTGAAATAAGTAAAGATAACCAAAGTTTTTTTGCAGGAGCTCTAACTAGCTCTTCATATGTTGGAGCCTTCTTTGGAGCAATCTTAACTACTTTCATTAAGAAATATCATACAGGAATTTTAATAGCAGACATATGCTTATTTGTGGGAAGTTCATTATTGATTTTTTCAGATATCTATACATTTTTTATTGGAAGATTAATAGCAGGAGTAGGTTGTGGAATTTGTGCAGTTTGTTAGCCTGTATTCATAAGACAATTTTCACCTACGTCAATGTATTCATCTATGGGTGGAATATTATCAACAGTTTTTTCCTTTGGATACTTTTTAACAATGCTTTATGGAGTATGGTTTCCTACAACAGATAATATTACATCTCCTGATTAATTGAACCAATATTTTTGGAGAATATATTTTTTTGTTGGTGGAATACCAAGTTTAATTAGGATTATTGTTATGAAAACTATATATAATTTCTAGACTCCTATCTTTTATATACAAAATAATTAAGATGATAAAGCATTAACAGTATTGAAAAAGATATATCAAAGTACGAATTATTAAGAATTATTGGAAAATATTAGGGAATAATCATAAACATAAAATAAATAAGTTGAATTGGGAGTGACAATCAGAAAACATAAGAAATAATTCTAATTTGGATTATTTTTAATGTTCATATTCTAATTTTGTGGATTCAATGCTGTAGTACAATATTCAACATAAATTTTTAATGATTCATAACCTTAAAAGACTGCTTAGTTTTTATCATTTTTGATTTCAGTACTAAAATGGATATTGTATAGTTTTGCTGGGACAATTACTCTCAAGTATTATGGTAGGAGGAAACCTTTATTGGCAGGACTCACATTAATGTTAATTGCTAATTTTGGAATCTTCTTATTTTCTTATTTAAATAATGATGACATGATAATTGTGTTCATCTTTGTATTTGTATTTGCTAATTTCAGTTCGACTGGCCCTATTGTACCTGTCTATATGCCTGAATTTGTTCCTTAACAATTAATTTCATATTGCTATTATACTTTTTGGTTCTATTCAATCATTATTTTATTGGTTTTTCCAATCGCCATGTACACTTAAGTAATTTATTAAGCAAAAATCTGGGTATGGAGAATTGTTTCCTGTTTTTCGCTGTCATCACTTTATTAGGTGTTGTGATATTTTATAAGTATGGTGTTGAGACAATGAACAAGACTAATTAGGAAATATATTAATTATTTAAAAAGAATGTCACAGACTCCCTGGTTTAAATGATTTAGTGATACAAGAAAAAATATTTTATTAAATTAAATAACTGATGATGCAGAAGAAGCTTACTTAGACAAATAGACAAGCTAAAACATAAGAATTCGTATTCCTCTCTCATAAATTAGACTCCATCCTAATTGATTTAGAAACAGTTATCAGGATAGATTTTTGAAGATGCACATCCAAAAATCAAAATCATTGAATTTTAAAATCTTGCTGACTTCTCCTCTCAACCAGTGAGTAGTGTCCCTATTGATGAACCGCTCTTTGATCCAATTCCACCAATTATACAATTTACAGACTATGAGGTACAATTTCCTCTTTTAAAGCAAACAAGCCATTACAAATTAAGGAGAAGATTTTCAAGTTGCGTAATAAAGATCGGGTAGCTAGAAGGGTTAAAATATACAAACCTGACTCTCGACTATTTTAAGTTGTGCCTTAAGGTACTAATGGAAAAGATGCAGGAACAGGAACTAAGGTATTTATTTTATGATTATTCTCAAAATAGGTAGCACCAGGTATGGAAACAAATTTTATTATTCGTTTTTCCCCTGAATCAAAATCAGATTATAATTATGATGTTATAGTTGAAACAGAAAGAGAGAAATTTGTTGTACCAATCGTTGCTGTTGGCAAAAGAGCCATGATAGGTATATAATTATTTAGATTCTTTAGATTTTCCCGATTCTCTTGATTTTGGTAATTGTCCTGTTAAATACACTACTGAAAAACCGGTTATTATTAGAAATTTAGGAGAGAAGACCACAAAATGGTTCTTGAAATTACCCTTAGGTTTTGATGCCGATAAGAGGGAAGGAGTTTTGGAATATGGCAAGAATGAGTAAATTGTCATCAAGTAATTATCTTTATTAATTATACCAACAGATTCTTTCCAACAGAAGCTAGATCTTATAAGAATAAGGCTATTTTATAGTACGATAATATGGAAGCTTATGTTCCCATCATTGGGGTTGCACATAATGGAAATGTTTATCTTTCTAAAAGTTAGATCAATATGACTGAGGCATTTATTGGTCTCCAATTACAATAGACATTATAAATTATCAATAAATCTAATGTTAAAGTAGATTTTGAATGGAGAGCCTTTGCAACAGAAAAAGAGGAATAAGAAAAAAAGAATAGATTGAGAAATTAATTAGAAGAAGAAGAAGCTGAAGAGAGAATGCTTATAAAAGAATTAGTGTCCAATGAAGGAGTACATGAAGAATTAGAATTGGAAGAAGATGAGGATAGTGAAGAAGAAGAAAGAGATGAAAAAGCTATTATTTTGAAGAGATAAAAGAAGGCTGAATTATAATTAGCAAGGAAATATAGAAATATTCGTAAAGCTATTGAAGATGATTTACTTCTCTTTATTGATGATATATTTACTATTGAACCTACATAAGGATAAATATGGCCCAATTCTGAAATGACAGTTACAGTTACCTTTGTTCCTAGAAGTGCATTTTTATATTAGACTGTTGCCTATTGTAATATATCGTGTTCAGAAGAAAGACTACCATTAAATTTATATGGACAAGGTATGGGTCCAAGAGCATTTTTAAGTGTTTATGAAGTGAATTTAGGAGATGTGTTTGTTAATGAAATTCATAAGACTGAAGTTGTAATAGAAAATAGAGGAGAAATAGAATGTAAATTTGAATTGATGCCAAATGAAAGAGCATTTGGAAAGATGTTTAAATTTGATGTTGAAAGAGGAGTATTAGCAGTTGGTTAAAGAATGCCATTTACAATTACATTCAAATCTAGTATACCAGGAGAATTTAAAGAAACTTTTAGATGGAAATTAGAAGGATCAACAGATTAATTAACAATACTATTTATTGGACATGTGATTGCTCCTACATTTAATTTTTAAGATGAGAAAATTTAATTTGGTACTGTGAGTTATTCATTCGAATAAACAAAGAGTATTAGAATGACTAACACATCAACAGTTGCATTTACATATGAACTTAAAATACCTGGTGATGGTAAATTAGCTGAAAGAGAATTTGAAATTGAACCTAGAAGAAATACAATCTAACCTAAAAATTTTGATGTAATAAAAGTTACTTTTATTCCAAAATAAATTAAAACTTATGAATAAGTTATGGTTGTAGATATTGAAGGAGTTGGATAAGATATGTTATCTATACCAATTACAGCTGATTGTTAAGCTCCAAGAGTAGAATTAAGACCAAGTGATAGATTGAATTTTAATAAAGGAGATGATTAAAAAGTATTCTTAAGAAATCCATGTAAATCAAGAGTTGATTTAATTAATACATCTGAATTACCAGCTAAATTTGTAGTTTTACCATAAAATGATGAATATAAGGTATTAGCAGATTATACAGTTGAACCATCTAGTGGTAAGATTAATGGTAATTCAACTATGTCTTTGGAAGTGACATTGACAACAAAGAAATTATATGATATTACATTACCTTTACAAATAAATATAGTTGGTACTAATAATGGATAACCTCATGTAATAACAATTGTAGCATTTTCAGAAGGACCTAAAGTAAAAACATCAAAAACAGAATTAGATTTTGGAAATGTTGATGTCTTAAAAGATTATTCTCTAAAATTGACATTAACTAATGATAGTGATATTGAGGCTGATTTTCATGCCTTTACAAAAAATAAAATTTCAATATTTAAACCAATATAAAAACATGGTATTATAAAACCAAAAGAGAGTTGTGAAATTGAAGTACTTTGTAGTGCAGATGATGCTGTTAAGGTTACTGATGTTCTTCATTTTGTAATTAAAGAAGGTGATGATGTAGAAGTATAATTAAAAGCAAGAGGAGTTGGTTCAACAATATTTTGTAAAGATGATTTATCATCTGTTAATATGGGAGTAAATTATACTCATAGAAAAGTTACAAAAGAAATTTTTGTAGAAAATAAAGGTAGGAAACCATAAAAATTATAATGGACTTAAAAGAAACCTCAATAGAAAAAAGAAGAATAAGATTAAAAAAATAATAAAGCTCCTCCTCCACCAGAAGAAGAATCAGTATTCTCTATTGCTCCTGATACTATTGTTTTACCACCTAAACATGGTATTATGTTTTAATTTAGAGGATATTCATAAAAGAAGGGAAAGATTTCTGAAATATTTATGTTACATTCTACTATAGGTACTGAAAGGAAAGCAAATCTATTATTTCCAACAACAATTGAAGGTGATTTTATTTAACCAACTTTGTAATTTTCAGAAAAAAAACTTTTTTTTAAATATTCTTGGGAGAAAAATGTTCCATTTATGCCTATTTCTAAGAATCTTGAAATCACTTGTGCTTGTCCTTTACCTGTAAATTTTGATTTAAAGTGTTAATAACCATTCACAGTTAATTAAGATAAATTATAATTGAATCCAGGTAAAAGTGCAGTTGTTAGAATTGATTTTGATCCTGCTTTTAAATCTGATCGTAAATCTGGTGATTTAGAAGGAAAACTATAATTATCTCATTATGAACATCCACATAAAGATTTGATTGATTTAATTGGTTAAGTCCATTTTCCAAATTTAATTATGGAAACAAATCTTATTAATTTTGGTTCCATTTTATATGATACAACAAAGAAAATGGTTATGACAATGAAGAATTAAAGTGAAATGGCATTAAATTATGAATGGACTTTTGTAAGTGAAGAATTATCTACTTAAGGTTAATAACCAAATATTCCAATTAATGAAATATTTGATATCTTACCATTAAGTGGTTATATGGAACCTGGATCAGAGGAATAAGTTGAATTTGTTTATAATGCAATTGGAGGATAGAGATTTAAAACTACTGCTGTCTGTCATGTTGATGGTGGTCCAGAATATGAAGTGACTTTAGTTGGAGATAGCAGTTTATTATCTTCTAAAATGAGCACAACATTAATTGAATTAGGAGATGTTAGATTTTGTGAATGGGTTTCTAGAGAATTTACAATTGAAAATACAGGAAAAGTTACATTTGAATTTAAGATTGATTTGAGACACATAAAGAAAAAGGGATTTGTAGATGTATAACCATAAAATGGAAAGATAACAGGAGGAGAGAAACTTAGAATAACAGTAAGAGTTTCACCTGTAATACCTGCAGAATTCAAAGAAATTATATTAGTATAAATTGGATATTATGAGCCAGAACCAATTACTATTATTGGAAGAGGTGTATATCCATCAATGGTTGTATAATTGCCAAGATCTGAAAATCCATTATTTTAATAGAAATTTGATGTTGAAATTGCAAAGAAGAAGGCTGATTTAGAAAATTAGATTAAGAGAGCTTAATTATTAGCCAAGACATCAAATTAAAAAGTTTAAGTGAAGACATTGGAATAAGTATAATTGGAAGTAGAGAGAGATATAGATAGATTTGTATTTTGTGAATAAATAAAGAGGACTGTATTAGATAAATAGGATGAGAGAACACATTCAAGAGATCAAAAAGAAAAGTTTTATGATAATGTAATTTTGGCTACTTATATTTGTGATTTTGGAAATGTTGTACTTAATTCAATAAGATAAAAAACTATAACTATCAATAATCCAGGCACTTTACCAGTAGAATTTGTTTTAGATGGTAAATACTTTAAACCTTAAGGATATAATATTGTACCAGAAAGAGTTTTGAATTTACCTAGTGGTGCTAATATCACTTTGAATATATAATATTAAACTAAAAAGAATATGGGTTTTGGACCTACTAAAACTGTTGTGCCTATTGAATTGAAGAAGGGTCCAAAGTTTCATCTAGAATTAGTGGCCAATATCACAATACCTTAAATTGTAATAGAGAATTCAGCTGATGGATAAATTGATTTTGGTAAAGTTTTGATTGGGTAAAAGAAGATTATCTTCTTAAGATTTGTTAATGATAAGGAAATAGATTGTGAATGGTCATAATCAACTAGATAAGAATTGACAGCTGATAAGAAAGAAGAACCTAGATTTGTTTTAGTGCCAAATAGTGGTATTATTAAATCAGGTGATAAA